ACCCTAAGCCGTAAACATTAAATCCCAAAGAACCCCGAAGTCCTAGCAAAAACATTTAAAGTAGAAGCGAGAAAGTTGGAACTTTAGCCCCATGCCCTTGAAGCAAAGTGGAATCCCAGCAGAGATCACCCCTAAACCATGTTCCAACTTTCTAGGGTTCACTATAAGTTGCGCCCTACACACACCCGAAGACCTACTATTTGCTTAAGAACACCCCAAAAATAGAAAATATATTCCTTATTGGGGTAATATAGGGATTATTATTTTTATTTTTTGGTGGTTTCTTAAGCAAATAGTAGAGACTGATCCGTAAACCCGACGACTTCCCAAAGACGCAGGACGCGGGGTCCTGGGGGTCCCACCGGATCACTCCCACCCTTTCCGTTCCCTGGAGGCGCCGGGGCTTAGGGTTTAGGGTTTAGGGTTTTCGTCAGGGGTTGAAAGACGTTTCAAGAGCCTTATCGGGTATGAGAAGGGCTTCTACCAGGGTTGTGATGACACCTTTTTGTCAGCCTTCATTGCTTGGAGGGTCGGGGGGCTTAGTAAGTAGCTTATGAGTATCATATCCCCAATTAGGGTCCCTTTCAAGGGACTTATAAGTCTACTTACTACCTACTTACTAAGTCCCTGAACCCTAAACCCTATACTACCCTTATATAGCCCTTTAAAGGAATCCTTAGAATCCCCTTTAAAGGAGCCCTTACTAAGTCTCCGGAGCCTCCAAGGATGCTTGGGGCTCAGGTGGCAAGATCGGCTGAGTATGTGCAAGAAGCGCTTCGGTGAAGGTTTGGGGTTTAGGATTTACTTGGGTTAGGGTTTAGGGTTTAGGGTTTAGGATTTACTTGGAGGTTCATGGGTGGTTATAAGTAGGGCTATAAGTCCCCATAAGTAGTACTTATAACGCTACTTATAACTACAAGAGGTTTTAGGTTTGAGGGGGTCGGGTTTGAGAGGGCGTCTCGGGGTTCCATTGCTGCCACCCACCGCGGTTGAGGTTCTTTCGGTGGCTTTTCGTCATCGTTTGGCGATGAGATATCCCTAGGATCCCACCTGCCTCCAGACTAGCTCTAAACCCTAGACTAAAACATTCCGAGGTTCCTGTTCCATCGAATGACCTGGCACTATAAAAGGTACCTGGCCTCTGAGACCACTGTTGCAGTAACCTTGAGGGTCCATGTACCCATACAGTATATCATATCTTTCAACCTGAAGAACAATCCTGCACTGATTTGAAGCCAAAGTTTATACTATACTTGGATCGTAAGAAACCTACCACATAACAAGGAACCCTTATACTTGCGAAGGATTGCGAAAAATGCAAACACACTCTGCCCGAGAGACCTCTTAGACAACCCTGAATGCTGAACCCCTAAACCCTAAGTTTAGGCTGGGATTCGGTGTTGAGGTTTCAGGCTTTAGGGTTGAGATTTGGTGTTTTAGGGCATTTTTGTTTGTAGATTCTGAGCTTGCCTGAGGTTTTAAAGGAGTTCCTTCCTCACTAGGGTAGTTAGTTCGAGCGATTTTCCATAGAAGCAGCACAGCCGCAGCTTGTTCCTGAACCCCGCCCCGAAGTCAACATCGCTCCCAACCCTAAACCCTAAGTTACCCTAAACCCTAGACCCCAAACCTCAACCCTAAACCCCAAACCCTCAACCCTAAACCCCTAAACCCTAAACCCTAGATTACCCTAGACCCTAAACCCTAAACCACCCTTAAACCCCAAACCCTTAAAACCCGAACCCGACATCGCCCACGAGGTCCACCACCGCCAGGTGCTCCCCCGTTTTTCCCACCGATGCCAGGCATGGACCGGCCAGGAAGATCAGGGGCTCCAAGTAGATAAAGGGTTTAGTGTTTAGGGTTTTAGGGTTTAGGGTCTAGGGTAATTTAGGGGTTTAGGGTAATTTACGGTTTGGGGTAATTTAGTTTAGTAATTTAGGGTTTAGGGTTCAGGGTTTTAGGTTCTATAAGGGGTCCTTAAAGGGTTCTATCAAGGGATCTATAAGGGTTTAGGGTCCATATACCAGGTTCAAGTAGATGAAAGTAATCCCCAAGGGGTCCATGTACCCAAATAGTACATACTTCATTGGGCCCAGAGTATATACTGTTTGGGCACATGGACCCTTAGGGAATCTTAGGTTCTATAAGAAATCCTTAATTAAAGGGTTCTACTATAAGGAATCTATAAGGGTTGAGGGTCTTCTAGGTTCCTGAGTAGTACCCTATTGCCTTTTTGGGGATCCACTACTTAAGACCAAATAGTAGCAAAACGGGCACCTGTATTATTCAGGGCCAATCAGGAACCTAGTAGATACAAGTAATCTTCTCATATACTTGGAGCCGAAGGCCACCAGAGTATTTATCAAGGTTAGCCTACCCTGCAAGCAACAGCCTTGTACCCGCTTCGGACGTTTGGTGATGCTGTTAGCCTAGGGTGTCCACTATCTTCGCGTACGATCATCACCAACCATGTGAATCAACGGGCATAATTCCAAGTGTTGCCTTGCCACGCAGGCATGCCGCCGCCGGGAGCCCAGATCAGCATGTCAGCAGTGTGATGTGCACGGTCTTCTGGCACATTCACTAGTCTTTAGAGCAGCAAGCTCCTTGTAGTCTGGGCACCACCTGGACAACCTTGGCTGCTCAAATTTCGACGGTACAAGGGCTGTTCATGAGACTGGATCCTGGACCGAAGCCATACTGCGTTCCTAGCTTGGGCATGGGTGTGCGAAAGCTAGGCCAGATGCGAGCTGTGTTAGCGGAGTCTTCTGCTATCGGCTAGGGCAGTTACTACCATAGCAACACTTATCAATTATAACCATCTTCATCGTAACAAAACTGATACACAAGATTAAGCCTAGTATTAATTATAAGTTTTTTCTCATTCGCATGAGTATAACGTTCGGAGAAGCTCATGTTTTTACTACTACTACTACTACTACTACTACTACTACTACTACTACTACTACTACTACTACTACTACTACTACGGTCATTATTTGTTGTTTATTATTACCATTGTTGTTGGTGTACTTATTGCTACTTCTACGCTGCTGGTGGCCTCTCACTTTTATTGAAACGCACCTCTGGCCGATCCTGAGCCTAGACGTTGGATACTGCCCCCGCTCAGTGACAGCTGAATAACGTTATGGAGAGTTTTCACACATATGTGGCCCTTACTCCTGTTGAATAGCATTCGCAACATCTAGATGTAGGGCCCTTACAGTAGCCCTATTATAGACTGTTGCTGTATGGGGGCAAAACAAGCGAGCGGCTTGTCATTTACAAGGTTTTTAGGGTCTACCTTGACCCTGAAGAACCTGCCCTTTTGAGGACTTATACAAGGAAATCGCAATAGGGAAACCTAAAATGGTAGGTTATTCAGGGTTAAGGTAGGGTTTAGGGTTTAGGGTGAAGCCCTGGATTGCTTTCCCCAGGCCCGGCGTGCCTCCTGGTGGCCCGCCACCCCCAGGGATGATGCCGATGCCGCCACTCGGATCAAGGTGTTTGGGCACTTGGTGACTATGTTGCTGGTTTTCCGCCATAGAATACAAACAAGCCCCTAAACCCTAAAATCCTAAACCTTCAAACTTAAATTCAAAACCCTAAACTCCTCAAGATCTGAAGCCCGACACCCGGCCGTTCCGATCCCACTAAGGCCTGGGATGATGCCTCCGCTTCCCGGAATGCCGCATTCCAAGGTTGATGTGGCGTTTAGGGTTCAGGGTTTAGGGGTTTAGGGTTTAGGGTGGTTGTCTAGGGTGGACGAGTTTAGGGTCGGGGTTTTAGGGGTTCAATCTTACAAGGCTTATTATAGGCAGGGTTCAGGGGACTTAGGGTTTATCGGGTTCAGGGTTTAGGGGTTTTAGCTTCGAATTTTAACAATATGCATAGGAGTATATATATATATACATACACACAAAACAGCAAGCAAATTTGACTTCCTTGTCTTGCTTCCTGGAGAAACTGCCCTTCGCGAGATAAGCCGAGACGCCACGAAGTCACGCGTGCAGCTTCATCCGAATCTCGAGGCTCAGATGTGAGTGTTTAGATATGGCTGCATACTTGTTTTGTCGATTCTGGGATACATCGACGTATGCTTCTAGCGAGCTGTTTGAGAGGAAGTTTCGCTGACCGCATCTAACGGTAGCATTTTACAACTAAGGCGGCCCGAACAATTGCTTGTAGTTCTATTGCCGTCTTTACTGATGATGTCTAATATAGGAGCCTTGATCATTCGAATGTGGTTCCTGAGGGCTCTGTCAAACAACTTAGTTATATTTAATGGCATGTTCTTCCACAGACCCTCATCTAATGATATTCTTACAGTATACAACGCCCCATAACCCTACTGTACTGAGATAGTTATGGTCTTTTCTGCCATATCATGCCCTCAAACCCTACATAATGATTGGTCTAGTTATAACATGGTATAATTATAATACATCATGCCAGGTCATGCCCCAAACCCTCTAAGCCCTACATACTGAGCAAGGCCCGTTTTTTTTCCTGGAAGCTCATGGCTTCCGGGGTTTCGCTCTGGCCGTCTGTGCTGCGGTGCGAGTAGGGGCAGCCTTTGTGGGACTTGGTTTAGGTGCCTAACTTAGGGGTTCGCGTTTAACGGGTTACGGGTAAGGGGCAATGGGGTTAGTGTTTATAAGGTTTAGGGGTTCGGGTTTAGGGTTTAGAGCTTGAAGGTACATTACATGACATGGCACTTCAACTTGAAGTGGTTTTGCGACGTTGAGAAGCATAATCCTGCTGCAGGGGAGCACGAGGAACCGGCGGTCCCTTGGGATGCAGTTTTGGCTCGAACGGAAAAGCTTAGATTCAGAACCTCATTTTAAGTGGACTGGAAGCACCGGAGGATGATCCTTTGTGAAGCTTCTGAACTTGTTGTGAACTTATTGCAGGATTCCTAAGGTCGTAAACATGTGCTACGATGTTCTCAGGCTAGTTGCTTAGCACAGCAAGATTGGTAGTTCGCTGCTGTTCCCACGATGCTGGAGTCTTGGCAAGCACTACGGTACTGGAACTGAGATCCATGCTAGTAGCTTCTATGGCCCTAAATAAACACGGCGCCGCTGCTTCGACTCTAGTGGCGATGTGCATCCTCCTTCAGTGCCGGATGAAGTCTAGGCAGGCAGGCCAATCATTTTTCTCAGCAGGGGCCTATCGCAGAAGGGGTCAGTGATGATATAGCGAAATATGAATTCTAGTCAATCGCGGCTGTTGCAGCCTTCTAGTCCTAAACATAAACCTACCACTACCTCTGGTGAGCAATGACTTTATGAAAGGGTGCAGAATCCCTCAGCAGCCATTACTCTGGGACTCCAGATGGCCCCAGGTGGGTTTTATCTGACTTTAGACGCCAACGTAAATCATACCACCTTTCTGAGCTAATCCCTGAAAATTTTTAACACCATTATGTATACCCGTAGGCTCCATATATCCTGATTTGGAGTACCTTATGGGGCCTTAGGGTAAGCCGTTTATACTGGGAGCCAAGGAGCCCGTGCGCGCGGCCTTGCGGCCCTCCGTTCCGACTCCTTTCTTTGAGGCCGTTCCAGGCCGACCAAGCAGCCCTTGCACGAGCGGTGCTTTTTATTCCTAAAATCCTTAAAACAGACACGCAGCGTCCGGGTTGGGGTCAGAGGTACGGTTCAGGGTTGGGGTTTAGGGGGTTGTTTTACCGTTATCTGTGGCTCCAATTGCCCACTATTTTGGGGATGGGACCAGACAAACTTCAGTGCGTATGCGGTCATATCGGTCATATCCTTTTGTTGTGCCACTTGAACCAGAAGTCGCCGTGCTCCACAGTGACCGATACCACGCGGGTTTAAGGTTACGCTTTTTGGGATTATGGTTTCGGATTTAGGGTATCCTGGTAATTAACCGCATCCTTGCCCCGGCAGGGATGTTCGAATGCATATGAGTATCTCTCTGTCATGGCTGTCATTTCGGCTTCATAAAACATATCAGGGTCCAAGTACCTATTCAGTAGAGAATTCGGCGTTGAACAATACCTATATAGAGGAACCCTTAGGAACCCCCTTTAAGTTCGCGAAGAGCCCAGTTACCTCTACAGTAGAACTGGGGTTATGGGTACTGCTGCGAGGTTTGCATAGGGTTATGGGTACTATAGGGTCTACACATAGGGTTATGGGCGCTGTGAGTACTACAAGGCTTACATAGATTGCTGTAGAGGTAGCCCCGAGACTCCAAACCCCTTCATGAAGATTTATGTAATGTACCTTAAATCCTTCTAGGGTTTCTACATAATTTAAAGCATGTTCTTTGATTAAGGAGTGTTTGAGTCTCTGGGTAACTTGGCTTCTAAAGGTTGCTGCTTCTGCTGTTGTTTTGTCAGCATGATGGGGTTTGTGGTCCGCAGGTAGCATCTTGTTCTGTTGTAGGTCGGGGTTCCTATTCTATGCAGTCTACTGTGCCCCAAAACCTGTCAACAAATGTAGGGTGACACCCCAAACGTTGGAAAATAATATGGCGGTACCAAACTGTCATGGTACTACTTCGGTAGAATGGTATCATAAATTGCCAATGCCCTATATTCCAGGCCGCGTTTCCGGCGCCCCGCACGCCAGTCGTTTGGACAGGCCGCAGACACCAAGCCCAAATCCCTCCGGCCCTGCCAAGACAACGCGTCTATTGCTAAGCCCTGTAAACTGTAAACCCAAAACCTAGAGCCTAAGCCTCAAATCCTAGATCTCAAGCCCCATATACTAAATCCTAAATCCCAAATCCTAGAAATCCTACGCCTCAAATGCTAGATCCTAAACCCCAACTTAAATCCTATATCTAAACCTCATACCTTCCCAAACCCCTTGACCAAACACACCGAGTCCTTCGGGCTCGATCAGTCTTCAGGTAGCACCTCTGTATTTTTGAAAGACCGAAGAATCGTGTAGATGTAAGGCTAGGATGGGCTTTTTAGGCTCCCTTATTGAAACAGAAAGGGAAACCAAACAGTAGGAAAAAGGGTACCCTTATTGTTAAGGGGCTACTGGGGAGTTTGTTTCTGAAAGGCAGAGGAATCGTGTAGCTACCCATCGGCTCCATTGTAGTTCCGTTTTGTGGCTCATATTTTGGATCCTATAGGGTAATCCGGAAAAGGAAACTACTATGAAGCCTATTGGTATAGTAGTGAGAACCCTCGCCCAGAAACCCGATTTTCGAATCTCCCACACCCCAAAAACTTTCCACCTACATGGCAACCTATGTGCTTCATTCCTTTACCCACAACGTTAGTTACTGCCAGGGTGAAGGGCAATGCCAGGAGCCACACATGCCTAAGCCAACCGGTTTCGAGTACGGACTGGACGTCTGTCTTGTCGGAGTCAGAGACCTAAACCCTAAACCTTTCGTTTCTTCATGCCTGACCCCGAATCCCATGAAACCCGAGAACTCAGAGTGTCAGCACATCTACAAGCCCTACACCCTGAACCGTACAGTCGTGCAAGCCTCCTTGACCCCATCCGTAGACCACCCCCTACTCTGTAGAGCATATTCTACTTGGAGGGTCGGGGGACTTAGTAAGTAGGTAGTAAGTAGACTTATAAGTACCCTAAAGGGACCCTAGTTGGGGTTATGGTACTTATAAGTCCCTAAACTAACCATAGTAAGTAGGTAGTATGTAGACTTATAAGTACCCTAAAGGGACCCTAGTTGGGGTTATGGAACAGAAAGGTCCCTAAACTAACCAGTTACTAAGTGCCCCGACCCTCCAAGTAGAGCTTGTGACCCGGAGCTGTGAGTTTGCCTGGAGGCCTTTGTCATGCGCTGTGCTGGCTGCAGTCGCCGTCCGCGTTGGCGCAAAGAGTACCCCTGCCCTGTAAAAGCCGTCGGGCTTTACGTGGAGGTTCATGGGTAGTTGTATAAGTGGGGTTATGTATACGTAGGGTAACTATACTTATAACCCATCTTAAGGGGCTTATAACCCTACTTATAACCACCCATGAACTTCCAAGTAGGGTTGATCAGCTCTGCTCTCTACCCTAAGCCACAAGTGCCACAAAGACAGACAGGGAGCTAAGAACAAGCAGCTCCCAAATCACGACGCTGCCGAAGCCCTGGAGCTTTATACCCCTTATAATTCAAGAATACATACCTTCAAACCATAATATAAGGCCCAAAATGTAGGAATCTGATTCAGAAACCCTGGCCCTCTAACCCCCAAATAGCAGGATTCATATAAGGAGCCCTACTAAAAGAGCCAGGGTTTCTGAATCAGGCTCCTACACTATCATTTCAGGCATCTTAAGGGCTATAATTTCAGGTATCTTAAGGACTATAATTTCAACCTCTGGCACTACCCTACTTACTAAACCCTAAACCCCTAAACTTCCTAAACCCTCGAGAACCCCTATAGAGCCCTTTAAAGGAACCCTTAGAATCCCCGTAATTCGGAGCTCGGAGCTTTGAGCTCCGAAGGCCCGGGGTGCCGAGAGGCCCCGAAGGTGACTACTTGGAGGGTCTTTAGGGGGATTTAGACTTAATAACTATAAGGGGTTCCTTTAGGGTTCCTTTAAAGGGATCTAGAGGAATTCTATAAGGGTTTGGGGTTTAGGGTTTAGAGTACTTGGAGGGTCGGGGGACTTAGTAACTGGTCATTTTAGGGACTTATAAGTGCAATCACCCCAATTAGGGTCCCTTTTAGGGTACTTATACGTTTACTTACTACCTACTTACTAAGTCCCCCGACCCTCCAAGTATAGAGGCCTTATTAAGGATTACCAATACTACGGTTGATGATACAAACAGGGCAATACCCCTAATAAGCAATATACCTAATTCCCGTATTTTCGGGTCCTTATTGTTTTAATGCAGGATCTATATCGTCAACAGTATATTTTGGGGATTGCTTAGTCTTATTATATTAAAATTTGCACCCAAAACCATATTCTAATTGTTAAGGCCCCTATATTAAGGGCTCAGAGGTTCCTTAACTTGGTAGCTGAGTACAGTAGGTAACTATTAAGCTTTTGGGGTTTACAGAATCCTACCACAAAAGTAAAGGCTGGGCCAGCGCACTCATTCCCCAAGTTAAAGGGTCCCATCGAAGGTTTCTACAAGTTAGGGTTCAGGGCTTGGGTTATGATCCCCGAAATCATGACTTGATAGTCGTATCAACTTCTTCACTGGCACCATGGTGATGTCATCTTCGTCTTCGCGCCACTCATCCGAAAACACCGCTGCAATGATGTGCAATGCATGCCCATGTATTCCCCAAGCGTGATAAGCCGAGGATTGCGTGCAGGGAGTACCGTTATAGGACCCTTATGGAGCCCTTATAGAGCCCTTGTAGATCCCTTATAGATCCTTTATAGTAGATCTCTTATAGATCCCTTATTAGGACCCTCATAGATCCCTTATGGTTCGGATTCTTCTTTTAGCCAACGAGGTCGAAGCGACCGCAGCCGAGTTCCGAAGCTGGCGCAGGCTGGTGTCGGGGCTGGAGGGCTTAGGGTTCAGGGCTTAGGGTTTAAGGTTTGGGGTTTAGGGCTTAGGGTTTAGGGTTTAGGGTGTGGCGCTTAGGGTTTAGGGTTCAGGGCTTAGGGTTTAAGGTTTGGGGTTTAGGGCTTAGGGTTTAGGGTTTAGGGTGTGGCGCTTAGGGTTTAGGGTTCAGGGCTTAGGGTTTAAGGTTTGGGGTTTAGGGCTTAGGGTTTAGGGTGTGGCGCTTAGGGTTTAGGGCTTAGGGTTTAGGGCTTAGGGGTTCAGGGTTTAGGTTTATTCTTGGGGGGCAAAAAGGTATCAGAGTATGGTGGGTTTGTGTTTCCGATGACGCTTCTTCGTCCTCTCTTGATGCTTCGTTGGTTGAACTACCGGAACCCTCACCAACCACCCTAATAATTATGCAATCCCTGAAACCGTTGCATCTCCCGAAATTCCCAAGTAATCCCCGAACCCTATGCACCGGCAGGAGACTTCAACCACTTCCAGTGCAAAAGCTTCAGCGCCTACTTCAAAGCCTAAGAGCCCTCCGGAGGCCATCGTGCAGGAGAGTTTACTTGCAGGATCATGCGATCTGGTGAGTAAGGTTCTAAGTGCCTTGATTGGAGGCCTAAGTACTTGTAGGATCTTAACCCCCTGCTACTCAGTCCCCTGTACTAAGTCCCGCCTGTAGAGGTAAAGGTGTCTACGGGCTTTGTAAGGGTCGCCTTAAGGGTTCAGGACTTCAGGTTCTATAAGGGCTCTATGGGGTTGTTGGGAGCTGACACGATACCCCCCCCCCATACCTTGTGTATAGAGAGGACCAAATTTTGACGATAAATCTCAATATCCCTCTTCGCAATGTCTAGGCAAATCCTGGGTAAGCACTAGACGGATAACATGGGCAAGAAGGGTCGTGATTAGTAACAACTCCATATCGTGATTATACCACTTTTATTTATACCCCAGTGCCCTATTCTACTTAATGCGGCCCATAGATTAAACCCATACATCCTCACCCTATGATATCTTGAATTTAAATTTAGATCAATGAACAGAAATTCTATATATATGTATATATATATATATATATATGTACATATGTATATGTATGTATGTATGTACACATAGATATATAGACATAGATGTATCGTAACTCTTGAACAGAAACTGTAATTAAGGAGCCCTGCTCTAATTCTTAGAGCCCCCTAAACCCTAAACCCGACCCTAAACCCCTAAACCCCAACTCCTACTCCAATTCTTAAGGCCCCCGATATTTCATCACAAGTCCTAGACAGCCCTTATAACCTGTTCTCTTGAGCTCTGATCAGAGAGAGGAGTCAGCGACCTGTACCAGGGCGCGATCCCTTATACACCCCTTTGTCAGAACCCTTAAGCAGGAACCCTTTATTCCTTAATCCCGGAACCCTAACAATCCCTAAACCCGAAACCTAGAACAGAACTCTTGTTCTTAATTTAAGGCACTCTTCTAAAGACACCTAAACAAGAGGAACCCCATATTCCTTAGGTTCTTCAGGCCCCATGTTCTTACTTGGAGCCCCAGGGGACTAAGTAAGTCGGTAACTTTTTTCTACAAATTACAATTGTTTATCACATCCTTCAACAGGTCTCAGCTTACATGGTACTGGAGCCTTCACCGGAATGCCTGGTACCGGTATACGGTAGTTCACGGCAAAATCTGGACAAGGGCGGCCGCATCGCCGTGCTCAGCCTGTCGGGATCTCGGGTGGGCTTCGCTTTGAATCCAAAGATGCGCGGCACAGCTCCGAAGATCAATGGTGTCAAGCGGGTGGCTGGGTTTGCAGCTCCGGCAGTCACCTGCAAGGGCCAGCTGATCGGTTTGCCCACAAGACAGGCTGCCCCGTCCTCAGCCATGTTGGGACACGAAAGCTTGCATGACAGATGGAGGCTGCGGCCCCGACTGGAGTAAGCATGCAATGATAGCCTGCCCCCTGGCCCCCTGCTGTTTCTTAAGTACTCAATCTGGACCATAAGTAGGGTTATACTAGGGGGTCATTCCAATCAGGTACTTATAACTCTACTTCTTACCTACTTACTAAGTCCATGGGCCTCTAAGTCACCCTAACCCGGCCCGCGGTATAGAACCCTTATAGATCCCTTCTCAGGAACCCTTTAGGGAGCCTCACTACTGACTAAGCCCCCTCGGCCTTTGTAAGCACCCCCAGGCCATCCCCGCAACCCTGAACACCTAAAACCCTAAACCATCAACCCCTAAACCCCTAAACCCGATAAACCCTAAACCCCTAAACCCCTAACCCCTAAACCCCTAAACCCCAAACCCCTAAACCCCTAAACCCCTAACCCCTAAACCCCTAAACCCCTGAACCCCTAACCCCTCAACCCCTAAACCCTCAACCCCTACACCCCCAAACCCTAAACCCCTCTACCCCTTAAACCCTAAACCATTCCCGCCCTGCCAGGCGAAGCCTCCTCCGCAGCCGAAGGCGAAGGCCAGCCCCCCTGTGGCAGCAGGAGCTGCTGGAGGATCTAGGGTTTGGAGTTTCATGTTTAGGATATATGTAGAATATTTAGGATCTAGTTTAGGATGGGTTTAAGGTAGGGTGTAGGACGGGTGAGATGTAGGGTTTAGGATGTGGGGTGTGGGGTTTAGGGTTGGGGATTTGGGTTCGGCACAGCCCGACAGGCGAGGCACCAAAGGAAAGGGGAAAGGTGGAAAAGGCAGCAGGAAGGACGACCGCCCGCGTGGACCGCAAACCCACGCAGCGTCGGACCCGGCAAGCACCACGCACGCCGAGGTCCGGCATGGCTTCCTTTCTATGGAGCAAAATCCGAACCACCCCCTGACTTTGACGGACGCCTATCTGTCGCAGATGCTCGCCGGCCACAAACGTCATGGCGAGGTGGCGTTCAAGGCGTGGCTCCAGCCTGGTGGCAGGCCCGCAGGTGGCCCGCCAGTGCGAGTATCTTTCAGAGCTTGGGCAGCCAATTCGTGGGAGAAAGTGCCCAACGAGCTCCAAAGGTACAAAAAGCATGTGGCGATACAGTGGTGTAGGATTTCGGGTATTTGGTGGAGGTTCGGGTCTGGAGAGCAGCAAGGGTTTGTTGGGGTACGGGATTCTGGATCAAGTTCTAGTGATAAGGATTTCTGGATGGGGGGGAACCCTAGACCCTAAAACCCTAAACCCTGCTGCGTGCAGACGGAAAGAGCTTCAACAACATTTAAACCCTCCTAACATTAACCGGGAAATTACAGGGAACGCACGTGTTTTATTTTTGAAGTGGGTTGGTTCCGGAGTTTTAAGTTTAGGTTTTTCGGCTCTAGAGTAAGGAATGAGGATGTAGGAGTAGCTAAAGTTCATTTGTAATTAAGAGTGAGAGGAACTTTGGCCATGCAGGCGGATTCAAGTCAAGGTGTTCTTGAGTAGGCAAGCCTATAGGAGGTACTTGGAGGGGCAGGGGGCTTAGTAAGTAGGTTATAAGTAGAGTTATAAGTACCCTAAATGGAGTTACCCCAATTATAACCCTACTTATAACCTACTTACTAAGTCCCCTGCCCTTCCAAGTAGTAGCAATCGTCGTCATCTTGTCCCTCTGACTATGTGCATCTGCATGCATCTCGACATTTCAGGGCTTTGAAATTTGGGTTACCCAAAGGGTCCAAGTATCATCATGGGACATACTTAGACCCCCAAAATACCCTATAAGTATATACCAGGATGATACTTGGACCCTTTGGGTTAACAGGTGTTGCTTCGACTGCTAGGCTTGCTGGATTCGGACTCTTCAGCGCTGGTTTTTGAGCCGATTCTCCTGTGTGTGTGTGGCCGAAGCCCAAAAGGCTGCAACTTACCCCCCAAAGATCTGAACCCAATCCCTGAATCCGTATCGCCAGCTCCCAAGCCCGCTCCCTGTGCCCTTAAATCTCGGAGATCCCTAAACCCTAAACCCTAAACCCTAAACCCTAAACCCTAAACCCTCAACCCTCAACCCCCGGTTCCCGAGGTGCACGCAGAAACAACAGGCTTCAAAGCGTGCAGCTTTCTTTGCAATGTACTTGGAGGTTTATGGGTGGTTACAAGTAGGGTTATAAGGATTTATAACCTACTTAGAACTACCCATGAACCTCTAAGTAAGGTAAGGTGAAGCAACGCGAAGGTATCAACGAGAATAGAATGAACTTTGCGGCGAAACCCATCGAAGGAGCCAGCCCACCGCCGCCACCAGCTCCCAAGGCTGTGCCCAAGGGACCCCCGCCGACGCCTGCGATGCCGCCGAAAGCTGCACCTTTCTTGGATTCGAGCTTTTAGGGGTTATTAGGGTTTTGTGGGGTTTAGAATCTGTTTTCAGAGGGATCCGATGAGGGGCACTGGATCCGAGTTTGAACTTATCAGAGTTGGGCATATGAGAGGAAACCTTACCTTTAGTCTCGATTGTAGTTCCTTTCATTTGTCGGCTAGCCAAGTTTGGATTATAGGACCCTAAACATAAGATTGGTTTATAACCAGGAAAAGGAACTGCAATGGAGACTGTAGGTAAACCCCACCGTGTTGGATGTTTCCGGATGCTTGAGATAGCCCCCACGAGGGCTGCGTAGAGATCTGCGTCGCGCATTGGATGTGGGGATGCAAACACTCTTTCTTCCCAGACTGGTGCAGGTACAAGAAGTTTATGTAGCCTCATTGCTCCACAAATGGCATTTTCAACCCCCCGCCTAAACTCTTAATTAATCTCAACAATCCAAAGCAGCAAGCAGAACTACCCCCCCGCCACCCCTTACCCCTGAACCCTTAAAACCCCTGAACACTTAAAACCTTGAACCCCTACAACCCTAAACACTTAAAACCCCTGAGCCCTAAAACCCTATGGTACCATTATAGTAACCTTGGTAGAGTCCCTTAAAAGGGACCTAAAAGGATCTCCTACACCCTAAACCAGAGTAACCAGAGTTCACCTCTACAATGCCCCAGGCAGCTCCAACGATCAAGGCTGAGTCCAAGGCTCCAGACAGAGCTTCTGCTCCTAAGTTTGAGTGGGCTATGTGTATATGTTTATACATATACAACACGAACATATATACGTATACACATAGCATACGTATACTGGTATCGATTTACAGATATACCTTGCATGAGTGTGGTATGCTTGCGCTTCGAGGGGACCTGTTTACTTGTAGCAAGGAAAGTGTTCTGCTTGGAGGGTCGGGGACTTAGTAACTGGTTACTTGGGGGACTTATAAGTACCATAACCCCAATTAGGGCCCCTTTCAGGGTACTTATAAGTCTACTTACTACCTACTTACTAAGTCCCTGAACCTTAACCCTATACTACCCTTATAGAGCCCTTTAAAGGAACCCTTAGAATCGCCTTTAAAGGAGCCCTTAGTAAGTCCCCCGACCCTCCAAGAAGGGTCGGCGAGGCAATGAGGTGGGGAGGGGGTAAGGGTGTGGCTCGGCACAAGCAGGTTTGTTGTTTTGGGCGTGGCTCCCTTAAACCCTAAACCCTGAACGCTGAATGTTCGTGGCTGAAAATCTTCTGAGGTCCAAGCTCGTTCTTAACTCGTGGGGCATGTGTGCTCCGTGGAACGTTTGCCAGGATCTGCCGGCAAGTACAATCCTTCATGCTGAACCGCAGTCCGCGACATGTGTGATATCCGAAGCCGTAAACACATTCCCATGGCAAGTGACTCAGACAGGCCGTATCGAACCACACACCATTGCTCTTCTACCGAGCAGACTCCTGTCACAGACAGATAGATGCACAGTTGAACCCGCTGCGCACGGCAACGGAACAGAACATGCAATATGCGATTGTTTGTACCGGATGTGGCAGACCTAACACTGCACCCCCAAAATCCAAACTCCAAATCCTCAATCCTAAATGGGAGTTTCCGAAACTTAGGGCTACCCTATTTGGGGGTCCATATAAAAAGGATCCTACTATTTAGGGTACTATAATACGGTCCTCTAATTTGGGAAACTCCCAAATCTACATCCCTTTCCCTTGCCCCCAAACCAGCCCTAGAGTCTACCCTAATGCTCCTGGACCCTCGTAGTGAGATCCCAAGCCCTAGCCCCCAAAGCCGAAACCCCTCCCCAGGAAGCCCAAGACCCTCTTAGGAGCCTTAGGGTAATCCCAAAAGAAAAGATGTGCAGGCGAAGGCATCCCCGAAAGCTGCGCCGACGGCTTCTTTGCTTGACTTGAGGGGTTTAGGGGTTTGGGGGTTTAGGGGATTTAGGGGGTTTAGGGGTTTAGGGTTTAGGGTTTAAGGGTTTTAGGGGTTTAGGGGTTTAGGGTTTTTAGGGTTTAAGGGGTTAGGGGTTCAGGGGTTTAGGGGTTTAGGGTTGATGGGTTCAGGGTTTAGGGTTGCTAATAAGCTCGGCTTGGGGTTTAGGTCGGGTAGACTTGGATTGAATTAGAACTCCGCGCAGAAACGGTTTAGGGTTTAGGGTTTAGGGTAGGGTATAGGGTAGAACCGCACCCACACCACTCAATAGCAAGAGCACTGGGCATTCTCATCATGTCAGCCTGGGGAGCAGCAGCAAACCCTGCTCAGGGCTTTAGGGTTTCCGGCTCCTCATAGAAGTATACTGGAGTATCTACAAGAAACAGTTTTTTCTACTTATTACTGCCCTTATATTGATTAGGCGTGACTAGACTGTGTACTCCGTAGAACCAGCATCATCCTTCATCCAGGCGAATCTTTCGTAAGCAGGGTCCCCAAAAAAGCACAAGCAAAAGCTAAAACAGGGATATCCCATATAAACCCCCCTTACAATGAAGCGCAATAATCTTTTTGCGGTCCCTAGTAAGTTTAGTGTGGAGTACCATGCTTGAATACTTTTTTGGATACCTGTTCCTTAAAGGAACCATTAGGAAATAAACGTCTATACTTTTTTCTCCCTGCTTACTTCAAAGTCCAGAAACAGCCTTTGCCCCGTCACGGGTTTCTGCTTCGGAACCCTAAACCCTAAACCCTAAACCCTCGAACGCCTTGAACCTCCGAGGCCAAAGAAACCTCGAAGACTGTCGTGAAAGAAGAGGAGAAGCCTAAGGCGAAAGTTCTCGAAGCTTTGAGCTGAGGGTCTTGGGCCCAACCCTAAACCCCTAAACCCCTAAAGCCTAAGGTTTGTGGTTCAGACCTGGCTAAGGTTTCTGGTTCGGGTCTTGGGGGCTAGGGGCTTCAGGGTTTTGTGTCTCGGATTTTGGGTTCGTTGTTCTGGCTTTCGGGTTTGGGGCTTAGGGGTTTATGGGTTTGGGGGGCGTTGGGGTCGGGCGGTTTGGGTTTAGGATTTAGGGTTCAGGGTTTAGGGATCAGGGGCTTGGGATACACTCCATTTCACTCCACTCGCCGGAAGGGTCCTGCGAGTCCACATGCAGACATCGAGCCCAACAGTGTGCTCAACACGGCTTGGGATATACCATGGTCCTGAAAAGACCCTGCACACCAAACTCTGGACACTCAACCGTAAAGGTTTATGTAGTCCCTCCCCGCATCACCACACCCTAAGACAATCAGTTGATTGGGTCGCGACGCATGTTCCTTGGCATAGTGGTTGCTTTGCCGCGGCGGTATTCCGCATTGCCTTTCCCAATAGATACACTGGCATCGAACAGCCGAAGGCGCAAGAACCACCGAAAGCAAAAGAAGAGCAGAAGGTGGTGGAGCCCGTGAAGGTGTGGCCCGAGCACTGAAGACTTGATCCTCAAAGGGGAAAAGGAGGGACCCTTAATGGGGACCCCTACCCTATTACGGGCTATATCATGGGTATATAATAGCTATATTAAGGGTATATAGCTCTGGGCTCGAGGCTTTCCAGTAGTGGAGCTGATTACGACTAAACCTCGAGAGTGCTGTCCATGATGGTTGGTGACCCCGTCCTTTCGGGGCTTGAAGCTGGGACCTGCACTGACCTTGTGGTTCATGTTCAGTCGGCCGACCAACATGGAGCATGTTTGCTTACACTTTGGAACAGGGAGCGTTGCCATTGCGTCGGGCAGTTTGAGAATGATCGAGTCTATACTCTGTACGGGGTCCTGTTTCAGGGCCTGCATGGAGAAACATATCAACTGCAACTTCAGGGCACAACCGTGGTGATTCCCCGGCCGTTACTTGCAGCGGCTTCTTACGTCTCAGTGAAGGAGGTTTGTGCTGGCATTGGAGGCATCACACTGGGCCTTCAGCAAGCTGGCTGTAAGAGCCTGGTTGTGTCGGACCACAATCCTCTGGCTTGTGCAGTGCTTGAAGAGAACTTTTCTACCGTGATTCAGGGCAGCCTTGCTGACCGTGCGGTCCGCATTCAGCTGCATCAAATTTCGTCGGAGATTCGCTGTCTCCTCTGCGCCAGCCTCCCTGCCTGTGGCCCCCCTAGGTTCGGTTTAGGCCCCGGTTCGGGTGATTTTCGGTTGGATCTTCTAGATGCGGTGCTGCAGCTTGCCTGGCATACACAAGCCAGTGGTCTGTTCCTTGCAGGCCCCGCGGACCTGGCTCAAGGCCAACCATTTCAGTGTCGCCTCCGGGCTTTTGCTATAAATGCCGGCCTGCAGCTTCACCAAGTTGATCTTGATCTCTCCGATCAGTGGGCCTCATCACGATTCCGTTGGTGGGCCACCCTTTTGCCGATGGGCCTGCCGGCCCCCCAACTCCGACGATGGCCAGTGCTCTCGCCACCAATGCAGGTGCAAGATGTGATCCCAGAGTGGCCAGTCTGGCCTGCCATGGAAGAGGCGGATCTTCTTTGGAGTGCTCAGGAGGAGGAGGCCTATGCTGACCCAAGTTTGGGCTCCCACTCGCGTGTTCTTGAGGCATCGAGCCAGGCACCCACAGCTTTGCATAGCTGGGGTAATGTTTTTCGGCCTTGCCCCTGCGGCTGCCGTACTAGACCATATAGTGTTGAGGGACTCAAAGCCCAGGGCCTAAAGGGGGTTGGAGTTCCTTCTCAACTTCAAGACGGCATGCGCCACCTGCACCCTCAGGAAGCTGGTTTCCTCAACTCATTGCCTCCGCGATTTCTACTTCCTGCCCAGCCCAGGGTTGCTTTGTGCCTTGTGGGCCAGCTGACTGCACCATTGCAGGCAATTTGGGTGTATGGCACGGTGGCCCAGGCGGTCGCTCCTTGCTTCGGCCTTCCAGTGGTTGACCCAGCCGCTAAGGTTCAGTGTTTCAAGGACCTGCTGCTGCAGCAGCGCCAAGACCACTGGCTGCTGCCTTCAATGTTGCCAGGCGGTACTCTTTCGCTTCATGACACAGATGGCCCTCGCACGGTGGCGACGTCGGGCCCGGTGACAGTGCAGCAGCTTATCAGTGCAGAGACTGCTCTCATGCCCCCGGGCTTCAAGCTTCAGGTGCTGTTGCGTGACCGAGTGTTGCCCAAACAAGCCAGACTTGCCTTTGCACCAAATGGTCCAACCTACCACCTTCGATTGCTGCGGAAAACTGCCGCCTCAGGCCAGCCTTGCAAGTTGGTTCGGGGCCCTGCTGCCCCTTCTGAGTGCCCGCCTCCAACAGATCGACTTCTGGACTGTTTTGAGCCGGAGACCCCAGTCGGTGCTGCTCCACTGCAGCACCCTCTTGCGGCCTTGTGTGACACTGCGGCCTCAGACTTTACGATTTGGTACGGCATTGACTCGTGGATTGAATCCTGTGCTGCATCTGCCGACTTCCGCCTGGTGCCTCCGTGTGCCGCAGACACTTTACTTCAGCTTCTCGGTGAGGATTTTGCTTTGGAGCCGCCTGCTGAGACAATCTTGCCGCAAGGGCCTCTTGTACTGGTTCCGTTTGCCTCCCAGGGGCACTGGGCCCTGTCGGTTCTTCGATCCGGCCCTGCAGGTGTGGAGGCAACCCTTTGGGATGGCATTCCCGGTAGGTGTTCTAATGTTGCTCGGCAGCTTGCACAGGCCTTGTGTTACTTGGACAGAGCTGCTCTTCTGTCCTTTGAGGAGAGACACCATTGGCTGCAAGCTGAGCCGTCCACGTGTGGCGCATATGTCCTTGCGCATGCTGCTGCGCTGGTGATGGGATGCCCTAGCCAGACCTTGCTGGACTGGGCCGCCGACTTTCTGGTGAAGTTTCCTCCCCACCTCTCTGGCCTTCATGGCCATGGGGGCCTCTCGACCGAGCAAGACAAGGAGCTGCAGGCCCTGCTTGTTACCAAAGGAGTCCCTTCTAGTGAGGCGGCCGGAAGGGTGCAGGCAGCAGTGACTAAAATTGGGGCTGGCCCCATCGGACTGGCCATGCAGCAGCGTAACCCCTGGCAAGCGCTGAAAGCTTGTGCCTCGAAGCCTCAGAGCATGTTCAAGTGGGTTCACTCAGATGAGCTCCAGGCCCACATCGAACAACGTGCCAGCTCTAAGTTTGGCACAGAGATCCCAAAGGCCCGAGCCAAGAAGAGCAAGGCATCTCACCGTCCGACCCAGGCACCGCTCCATATTGATCCCACTCAGCTTCGCTTGTCGCCAGGGAGCTTTGCAGCCACATCCGATGCACCGCTAGGCCAATTGGCCTATGAGGAGGTCAAAGCACAGGCTACAGGTATCTGCTTTTGCTCAGTTGAGCAGGCTTTGCATTTTGCCGCGCATGGCCGCAACCTTAGTGCCTTAGTGTTGACCCTCTTGTCCTGGTCACTACGGCAGAGATCCCAGCTGAGCAGGCATGCCAGGCTCGTGTGTCCCCGGTCAGATACCCTGCAATCTTCACTCCTACCCAGGAGGCAGTGCTGGTCACGGGCAGCTTGATTCAGCTTGGGGACGATCCAGTCCAGCTTGCTTCGGTGAACATTTCAGACATTGAACACTTGGACACGATTGTCTGTAAGCTGTGCCTTTTCAAAGATGAGACTACCCTTCCTTGGGATAAGCTGACTGAGGCTCCCATCCGAGTGTTGTTGCAACAGCTCCCGGCGCTGCAAGTTTGTCGCGACCCGATGTGCAGCCAGACATGTCCCGCCTTCCATGCCGCGGTGGATGAGGTGGTTGAACAATTGTTTTTGGACATATGGTCGAGGCAATGGTGTCGCTTGAATGGCTCCCGCGCCAAAGCCGGCGAAGCAGACTTCTTTCAGGCCTACATCCGAGTGCCTGCTTCAGCAATCCAGCACCTGTTCCGTGCCTCGGTTGCCGGCCTTTACTTTGAGCCCCGAGCCGGCGATGGCTCCGGGCCACATGCTGCCTGGTCTGTGGTGTGGCTTCCAGGGCACACTTCGGCCCAGGCCCATCATGCACTTCGCACAACGGAGAAAGCCATCGCATTGGCCCGCATTGGCAGCAAGTACGGCCTCAGAACCAAAGAGGCCGATGAGCAGGTTGTCTTCGAGGCTATGCGGCCCCAGCATCAGTTCATGAAAGTCCGAGTTTCGAGCCACTATCGGCTGCACCCCCTTCCCCATGGCATTCAACGACCAGCGCTCATCAAGCTTCTCCAGCTGTGGAAATGGTGTTGCAAGCCTCTTCAGCCTGACCGCGGGGACTCAGCTGGAGCAGCTTGGTTAGTCGGGGCTGCCGAGGAGCCGCCTGCTCCTGCACTTTCCTTGGGCCCGGACTTTGTTTTGGCTACCAAAGTCCGTGATGTCGGTGGGGCCACTCGCCCCTTGCAGCCCGTGTATGCCTCTGCTCGCACGAAAAAGGCTATCCTTCTGGATGATGATCACGATGAGGGCCTTGATCCATGGGCAGGTGGTCAGGACCCTTGGTCTGCAGCGAAGTCGGCGCAGCCTGCTTCTCTTTCGGCTCCCTCGTCCTCCAGTGCTGCTGTCACCAAGCTGTCTCAAATCCAAGCCGACCTTAAGCAGGATCTACACGATCTTGTGCGCAAGGAAATTGGGGAGCAACAGCCCGCAGGCCCGCCGCCAGGACTGTCGGAGCATGGCCATCGGTTGCATCAGCTTGAAGTCGGTCTGACTGAATTGCGCCATCAGAACACCAAGTTCGAGGACTGGTTTCAGAACTTTGGTACCCAAGTCACAGACCAGGCCAAGCAGATCGAGGGCCTAGACGGCACTGTGGCCGAGCAACGCCGCGAGCTCGCACAGGTCAAGACTGAAGTTCAGTCCTCAGCCGTGCTCGGATTGCAATCGGAGCTTTCTTCGCAGATGTCTGCACAGCTTGCCAGTCAGATGCAGCAGATCCAAGCACTCTTTTCGGAGAAGAAGCCTCGCACTAGTTGACTAGGGCGCCCCGGCCGCTCCCTTGCACGACGGAGCGGGCCGCTCCCGCACCTTTGCTGGCGCTTCTTTGTCGCTTTCCTGGCGACCTTCGGTATGCTGGCCGATGCAGCCTGCTGCCCTTCGTCTGTGATCGGGTTCGCCAGGCACTCCCTGCCAATCTCTACTCTGGTCCGGTTGCCTTTCGCTTCGGGGAGGCTTTGAATCCGGGCCCTGCTGACCTTTTCCGAATTAGTGTTATCCTTCTGGGCTTCGCAACAAAGAGTCCCTGTACTCTGACTGGGGCGAAGGAATCCACTGTTTTGCCGAGACACAGCTCTCGGCTGCACACTGCCTGGCTCCTGTGCTCAGTTTCGCCGGCTCGCCAAAGGTTTGGGCCGCCAGGCACGCACCGTCGCAGGGGCACCTGCCCCTTTGAGGACCAATAGCACTTGGGCTGGATCTTGGACTGGGGTTCTCCAGGTCTCTGACCTTCCGTGCAAACCGTTCCAGCTGTCGTGGCCTCCTGGCCTCTATGATACTGGTCGCGTGACTTTGGCTCATCACTATCATCCCCACTCCCCTCTTCAGGTTGCCACAGTCTATGGCTATGCACCAGGCAATACCTGGCCAAATGCCAAAGCCGATACGGACAGCATGTTGGGCTTCCTCACACGTGAGCTGGTTTTGGGCTCCAGGGGTTTTCGAATCATTTGTGGGGATTTCAACCATGACTTCGCTAGCCTCGATCAGTGCGCCATCTGGCGCCGGCAAGGTTGGATTGAGCTTCAGTGTTTGGCAGAGCAGCTGTGGGGCACTCCGCCTCAGCCCACGTGCAAGGCGGCCACCCGCCACGACTACATCTGGCTTTCGCCCGAAGCAGCGGCCTGTTTGGCACAAGCCTCCGTGGTGGATGTCTACCAGGAACATTCCACTTTAATTGCTGGGTTTTCGCTCTCGTGCTCACCCGTTTTGGAGCGAACCTGGCCTCTACCTTCGGAGATTCAACGGAAGAGTGTGGACGTCGATGCTTGGCACCGAATGGGGGATCATACTTCTGTTGGATGTTCGACTTCTACCCAGTGGTTCACTGGGTTTTCACATGCCTTTGAGCGCAGTCTTTGTGGATTTGTTCCAGACATGTGTGGGAACCACATACCCACAGCCTGCTTTGGCCGGGCCAAGAGACTTCAGCCTCAAACCAGCCAACCTCGCTGCAAGGTTCCCAGGTCCAGCCGTCCGGGCGAGGAAACCCGCCTGCATGATGGCCTCAGCTCGGAGGTCACTCGTTGGTTCCAGCAGCTTCGCCGGCTGCAGTCTCTCAAGCACGCCCTTCTGGCTGGCAACGTCTCTCCCTCTGCCTTGGACTACCGATCCTCGCTTTGGAAGTCCATTTGTTCTGCCCGCGGATTTCGTGGCGGCTTCTTGCGTTGGTGGCCAAACCGACCACATCGTCTCGTGGGCAGTCCTGCCTCTCTGTCCACCGTGGTCCCTGATGCCCGCACGGCGGTTGGTGTCTTCGAAGATTTTCGTGAAAACTTCCGTCGATTGGAGCAGTGGCACCTTCAGAACCGAAGCCGAATTCTTCAAAGCAAGCATGATGCTTCTATGGCCCAGCTTTACCTTGAGCTTCGGGATCCGGCGCCGGCACAGGTCGATTCTCTGACCGTGTCCCGTGAGTATGCCATTTTGGCTTTGTCGCCATCTGGCGACCAACTGCACTTGGAATCTCCTTTGGACCTTCGCGGAACCTCCACTTGGACTGTGGACGGTACCTTGGTGGAGGTTGTTTCTGACGACAACATTGTGTGCAAACTGTCCCCTGCACTTGTCGGTGCTCCGGAGCGGCTTGAGCAAACACAGGTGCTCTCCCAAGTCTCCGATCTGCACCATGAATTCACTGGTTTGTGGGCTTCGCGATGGCAGAAACATGCTACGCACACGGCCCAGCATTGGCAACGTTTCCTGGACTTCGCTTCAGCTTTCCTTCCCCGCCTCTCGATTTCCCTTCCCGAGATCACTTGTGATGCCTGGCTTCGGGCTGTCCGTCGTTTCAAACCCAGAGCTGCTCGTGGCCCAGATGGATGGGCCAAACTGGACTTGTTGCACATGCCTCGTGGGCGAATCGATCAGCTCCTTGCCTTCCTCGGTGCTATCGAGGCTGACTCCCGGCCTTGGCCGCAGCAGTTGGTCACTGGATTTGTGTGCCTGTTGTGCAAAGGGATGGCCGTGCAGACGTGCACGGGTTCAGGCCTATCTGCCTCTACTCTATAGTCTACCGGACGTGGGCGGGCCTGCGCTCTCGACAACTCCTTCAACAACTTCGCTCTCAGCTCCCCGAGGATCTGCATGGGTTTGTCCCGGGACGGGAAGCTTCTACCCTGTGGTACGGCATTCAAGCCGAAATCGAGGCCTCTGTTCAAGGTGGCACCCCGTTGCTTGGCGTGTCCTCGGATATTGTGAAATGCTTCAACAACCTGCCCCGCCTTCCTCTTTTGGCGGTGGCGTCTCACATCGGTGTGCCATGGACCATCCTCCACCCTTGGACGGCCTTTCTTCAGCAGACTGAGCGCCGGATCCTCATCAGAGGCCAGGTCAGTGACCCAATTCGGTCTTCTTCGGGATTCCCGGAGGGGTGTCCGTTGAGCCCTTTTGCCATGCTGCTGGCAGACTACGCTTTCCACCATTCTATGCGGGCTTTTGTTCCACAGGTTCGAACTATGAGCTATGTGGACAACCTTGTCAGTTTGGCGGTGACGCCGGCGGGCTTGGCCTCGGGCTACCATGCCACTCATTGCTTTATGGATCTTCTAGACCTTTAGCTCGACCGGCCCAAGACATATGTTTGGGCTACCCAACCAGCGGATCGTCGCTCTCTTAAGGCCCTGGGGCCGGCTGTGTTGGAGCATGCTCGTGAGCTCGTGAGCTTGGGGGACTGACCAACAACAACAGGTCCGTGGAGTTTCAGGCCGCGTACAAAGCAGCACTAGAGTTCCATCGTGACGCCCTGGCAGTGCAGCGAGCGTTGATGGCGATTTATCTGGGCATTGCCACCGCTACGGACCGCCGCCAGCAACCAGGCGCGGTGGCTGAGGACATGCAGGAGGAGCCGATCGCATCTGCTTCTCTACATCCTGTCACGCGCCGCTGTGATCTTGAAGAATCCATCCCGATTGGTTGGAAGGCGGCTGTAACTCAGATTTCGGGTGACTTGCCGAGTGATTTTGTAGTTTCGGTGTGCCAAAGGCTCTTTGTACAGGACGCCTTGGCCGACCATGCCTTTGCCATTTCGTGGCTCGAACTGGTGTTTCTGTTTCATGTTCAGGGTGATGTTGGTTATCCTGTTTCAGGGCCGCATGGCGGCTGGATTTCATCGGCCACGCTGGCATTTTCTCCTGTCCCACCAACGGTGGCAGGCAGGCTTTCGTTTGTCCGCCGAGCGGTTCGGCGTGCCCTGCAACACTTACAACTCCAATGTTTGTTTACCGGGGGTATTGATTTGAGTGGTTTTGGGATTCCTTTCCCTTTGGACGGTTTGATCATTGGAGTTGAGGAGCAGGCCTTTCTTCGGGCAAGGGCGGCCCTCGGCCTTTTTGTGCAGGGGCGCAGGGTGACTTCTCATGCTGCGTTCGCTAGGCCTCTTTAGTGCTTCACCTTCCGACTGGACCATGGACATTGCTGGCTGCACTGCGTCCGCTGTGCACCAGTATCAGAGCCCGTGTGTGGTATATTAAGGGTATATACCTAGGGGTCCTTATTAAGGGTCCCTCCTTTTGCCCTTGGAGTTCCTATTGAATCTTGCAAGTATGTAACCCCGTATGCGTCCATGTGCTCACATATCGCCTACCCCTCAAACGGGTTGCCTTGTAGATACCTGAAGGCCAAAGAGGTACATACTTTAAGTATGTTCCAACTGAGTAACCCTAAACCCTAAACCCTAAACCAGTAGATGAACCCCCTGCGCAACGGTTCGTTCAACAACACTGAAGCCCTCAATCCGAACCCCTACACCTCAACAAGTTTGCGTGTGACCCTGATCTATCAACATCCTAGTAGTATAGAGTAGGTAACTTGTAACCTTTTTGGGAAGTATAGTCCCGAAATAACCCCTAGATAACCAAAAAGGCTAACCTTTAGTTCCCCATGATACCCGACACGTAGGACATGGGTTTTCTGAAAAGACGGTGCCCAAATATGTCGAGGATGGCCGAAAGGATCCCTATCATGCCACCCCTCTGTTTCGGAAGCCTCTCACGAATTATCACGCCACAGAGGTAACCTAAGAGGCCCAGTACTACCCGTATTCCCTTTTTGTAGTCCTAGGTTCCTTATAAAGTCGCGCACTACCAAAAAGGGAGCCCTTTTATTCCTAGGTTACTGGGCATCCTAGTCACTATTTTTTGCTAACTTAGGAGCTGATGTAGTAAAATTTCTCCCCCTATCTAGACTGAACGTGTTTTTTTTTTCGGAATATGATCTCATCAACTAAGAAACCCCTACGAAGATGTGCAGGGTGCCAATTATGTATGCCCCCGGCTCGGCAGGTTTAGGGTTTAGGGAACATCTGCCTTTGGCAATTCAGGGACTCGGTGCAGGGTTTAGGACCTATGGGGATGGGAGTTTGATATAACAGCGGTTTAGGGTTTAGGGTATAACAAGAACATCAGTTCACAAATTTCCAGGTAGACGATGACAAAAAGGTGCCACTTGTCTCGAATCATACGACCTTTAAAAGTTTAAGGAGTTTGTCAGCCCCCTCGTATTCGGAAGAGTGACGAAGTGTTGGCCCTGAAACTCAGGATGTCTGCTTTGGAAGCTTCGTTTGGTAGCAGGAGGTGTGTCGGACAAGGGGTAGGTTATCTGTTTTTTTTGCCATGGGGGCGGACTGGTTAATCTAGATGTCTGGCTACGGAACAGAAGTCGAGTATGCCCCGAGTTTATGACGCATGCCCGGCGCAAACCCTTTCCAATTATTCAGGCAAAGCTTTGGCGGAGCGGGCTCAAACCTTGGAACTCAAGAAGTACGAATCCTCAAATCCCTTCATGTAGCTCTGGATTATGAAGGCCCTAATCTTAGGATCCTTTTTGCATATCGTCATTAAGGAGATGGATGAATCCGGGGTCTACAGATTGTTCCTCTCAACCACTCGACCCCATGAGTGCATGAATTTAATGTGGGGGACGTTAGAATCGGGTTTTGGGGCATACTCAAGTATAGTATAGTCATGACAAGGAACCCTGAGGAATAGCATTCAGACCCTACATTATACAAGTACTCTATTGACCTAGTCTGCCACCGTCCCAAAGTAGCTCGTCAGCCCAGAGGCTCCCAGACCCAGCCTTGTCCTTTTTCATGGTTCCCCCAAAGGAATAAACAGACCGGCTAGTAGACCTTCTTAAATAATTCCTACTAAGGGATATAGGTATAGGGCTCTGTCTATTATTTCCAAAAGGACAAGGGTGCCCAAACCCACCTAATTGAGGAATATACCTTGGATTACAATAGGAACCCCAACATGACTCAAGATAGATTCCTTTATTACGGGGTCTTGGAGTCTCTAGGATCCATAACACCCCCATGATACCCTTAGAGCAACCCTTAAAGGATCACTTAGCAGGGAAGCTTTCAAGGGATTGGGAGCAAGGTCCAAGGCTTGAGCCCTAAACCCTAAATCCCCAAACCCTAAACCTTAATGCCTAAATCCTAATCCTAAACCCTAAACTTTCGATCCCTTAGGTGGTCCTCATCCAGGCTCTACCTACTAGGTACCTAAAAAAAAAAACTAAATCCTAATCCTAAACCCTTAACCCTAATCCCTTAAACCCTAAACCCTTAAACCCTAAACCCTAAACCCCTAAACCCCTAAACCCTAATCCTAAACCCTCAACTTTCGATCCCAGGCTCGAGCAAGCACTGAAGGACAAGGAGGCCAAACTGGAGACGACACGTGGCCCAAAGGGTCCTAGGTACTGTTATGGGAAACCTTGCGCGTTTATTAGGGTTCCTTTTTTTTTATATCGGTACATAGGACCCTTTGGGTTGGCCGGATTTTAGGAGCAAGGCTCTGGGGGTCTATATGGGTGGTTGTCAAAATTAGGGTCCCTTTTTGGGTCCTTATTATAATACGGCACCTAATATTTAGGGGACCCAAACAGGGACCCTAATTTTGACAACCACCCATATGGGAGTTTCCGGAAATAGGGGGCGCTGATATAGTACCCTAAATAGTAGGATCCTTATTATAAGGACCCCACAATAAGCTACATATCAGGGTTCATTTTTGCACATTACTTGCTTCAGGGTTTTGTGGGAAAGTGTTTGCGACGTTTAGGTTTTGGACCGAAGGCACGGCGTCCGCGTATAACCACAGACTCTGGAAACATGTCCGGTGAAACAGGGTTTGTTTTGCCACTGGCCATCTTCAGGCGTGTAAGGTTGTCTGAAAGCATCACTTCAAAAGGGTCTGAATCTTGAAAAACTACGAAGACGTTCATTTGCCGTTTTTGAGCTAGAATTAATGTACAAGCCGAAAGCGATAATCGACAAGAGAAACTATACACCTTAATTGCCTTAAAGCGCAAAAGCTGAAGCCTCAGATCCCGGAGCGTGCGAAGCTGACACCCTAGACCCTAAACCCCTAAACCCTAAACCCCTAAGCCCTAAACCCCTAAGCCCTAAACCCCTAAACCCCTAAACCCCTAAACCCTACACCCCTCAACCCTAAACCCCAAGCCATACTGGGCCGGCTGCCAGTCCAGTGCCTCGGTGTTGGAGCATCACTTGCTCCACACACCCAGCGTTCCCAGACCTTCCAAAATCCCTTAATTCAGGAATATACCTAGGGTTCCTTTAAGGGATCTATAAGGGATCTATAGGGTTTAGTATCCCTTAATTAAGGAATATACCTTAAATTATAGTAGGATCCCTAATATGATTTAAGGTATATTCCTTAATTAAGGGATTTTGGAATGTCTGGGTGGAATGCCAAGAGTATGAGAAAAATGAGGTTGGCAATCTGGGTGGCCGTGGGAAACCCTAAACCCCAACCCCTTAACCCCCTAAACCCCTAAACCCCTAAACTGTAAACCCCTAAACCCCTAAACCCTTAAACCCTACACCCCTCAACCCTAAACCGTCCGAGGAGTGAGCAGGAAAAGGCTTCCCTGAAGAAGCAGATGGAGCAGATCGCTTCTCGACTCCCGAAATCCTACGGAAGCCCTAAACCTTAAACCCTTAGAGCCTAAAGCCGTCAAGCCTAAGTATACCATTACGATACGGTTGATGATATAAATCCTGCATTACCCATAATACGGAATACACCATAGTTCCCATAGTGTAGAGTCCTTAGGGTCATGCAGGATGACTCCTCAGATAGTGAACGGGGGAACTTTAAACTTTTTGGCATTACATTATTAGCTCTATCTTTTAAAGTTTGAACTTTCGGGGGCCTGGTTGTTGAAGAAGAGAGACTCCCAAAATCCTAACATTCCTAAAGCTCGAAAAATCGTCAACAAGACCCTATTTAACACCGGTAATTACTTTACAAAGTCCTAAAACCTTAAAAGTCGTAAACATCAGACCCTGTATAAAACTGGTGGCGGAGGGTGCAGGGTTCCAAAGCATTATATGTCGTAGCCACGAGCCCTCGCTTCTGCATGTCTCTTTGAGGCCTGCTGGTTTCTGAAGGAGGTTTCGTTCAACAAGTAAGGGTCCATGTGCCCAAATAGTATATACTTTGGGCCTAATGCACCTATGCAGGGAGTACTTTAAGGCCAAAGTATATACTATTTGGGTACATGGACCCTTAGGGCAAGTAAGTTTACCAAGATTGACTGAGCTGAGTCGCCCGAAAATCAGAGACTGAGCTTAGGCTTTCTGAGTGTACTGTAGAATGGGAGCTTCCGAAAATTAAGAGTATCGCATTTTGAGGTCCTTATAATGAGGAGTCTGCTATTTAGGGTACTATATTTCGGTCCTCTCTTTTCGGAAACTCCCACTGTCTCCAAGAAGACAATCGCTTCATCTAGGATGCCCAGTAGTGCCCTTATTCCCCTTTTGTAGTCCTAGGTTCCTTATCAAGCTACCCAAGAAGGGAGCCCTTTTTAATCCTAGGTTACTGGCTACTGGGCATCCTAGATTAAGGAAGATACTTTAAAACATGTTAGACTTCCGATCATAATCTAGGTATATTCCTGACTTCAGGAGTTCTGTAGCCTCCGAGAACCATACCCTAAACCCTAAACCCCTAAACCCTAAACCCTAAACCCTGAACCCTAAACCCTAAACCCTAAACCCAAAATAAGGCTGAACCTCTAAATCCTGAAACCCTACGTATCCAATTCCCGAAAGGCCCTGCACCCAAATTTTGCAGCTTGAGAACCCTGGGTTGCTAGACGGAAGCGGTTTAGGGTTTAGGGTTTAGGGTTTAGACGGAACCCAGAGAGCCCAATACCCCTTAATGAAGGAATATGGCTTAAATTATATAGGGCTTCATATTATGATTTAAGCTATATTCCAAAATTAAGGGGTATTGGGCTCTCTGGGAAGCAGTTGGGTAATAGCCTGCGCGCTGATGTGTTAAAACCCGCACTGAGTGTGAACCTGGCGCTTGCAGACGGAGCCTTGCAAAATCACGCCTTGCAAACCCCTAAACCCTAAACCCTAAACCTTAAACCCTAAACCCTAAACCCTAAACCCTAAACTGCACTCGCAGCAACAGAGGCATCAGGACAACGAGTGGGGAACTACGATTCGTGCAATCGAAGATTCCCATGAATCTCCAAGTAGGCCCTATAAACCCTAAACCGTTGTAGAATCCCTATAGATCCCTTTAAAGAGACCCTTAAAGGAACCCTTATAACTACCCATGAACCTCCAAGAAGGACTTCTGCATGTCTAAGGAGGCAGACAAGCAGGCCAGGGCCAAAGCAGATAAAGAGAAAGAAGAGAAGCTGAAGCAGCGGCTTGGGCAGTTTAGGGTTTAGGCTTTAGGGTATAGGGTGTGGGGCTCATGGGTTAAGTTAGTGCCGCAGTGCATATGCTGCAGCAGCAGCTGCTGCCGCTGTTGCTTCAGTTGCCTCAGTGCTGCTGCTGGAGTTTGTGATTTTGGCCTCTTCAGCAGATAGATTGATGATGATGCTGCCGATGATGACGATGATGATGGATGACTGTGGTGATAAAGTGATAACAAGATCACGATGATGCTGGCGGTTGTGAGTGATGATGAGTTTGATGGCGCGGTTATGGTGATCAACATTTTGGTATCGACGTCGGCGTAGGTTCAGCTGGTTGTGGTGCTCTGCTAGTTCCTCTGACCATCAAAGAATCAAAGGCTGTCACGATGGGCCACCTGCATACTAGCATTGTTGAGTTCCAGTTTCTAGCAGCTTGTGGCTGGCTCGCTGTTCGGTACGCATGTATATATGTACATGTTTATATGTCTATATGCATACGTGTTCATGTATACATGTACACATGTTGATATGCATATATGTATACATGTATATACGTATATATGCATAAATGTATACATGTATAAAAGTATGTATGCAAATATGCGTATGTGTAATTTTTATGTCTATATGTACCTATGTATACATGTACACATGTATTGATGTAAATATGTATATATATATATATATATATATATACATGTACACATGTGTATATGTACATATGTATCTATGTATATATGTATGTAGGTATATATGTATCTGTGCATATATGTATATATGTGTATATGTATATATGCCGAGGCAAGAGCAGGCTTTGGACAAAGCAAAGGAGGAGTTGGAGGAGATGAAGCGCGAACAGGCCACGCAGCAGACTTTTGAACACGGCTTAGGGGTTAGGGGTGTAGGGGCTGAGCAGGCCTGAACGGTCTGTTGTTTTGGCACAGTTGTTTTTAATCTGTGGCCTGCAAAATCAAAAGGATGCACACGCGCGGTTTCTCGGGTTTAGACATGTCGTTCGGGGTTCCAGATGTATTAGATTTTGGGATCCTTGATACAGAGTTTAGGGTTTAGGGCAGTTCCAACCTGCTGTCGGAAGACTTCCACAGGAGCGAAATCGGCGCAATTTGCAGGCTGCATCCGCTGCTGCAGCTGCTTGTCCTGCAACTGGTCCACTTGGGGTGGTTTGGAACTAGCCCCTGAACCCTTAAACCCTCAACCGCACACCCCTAAACCCTCAGCTACCCCAAACTCCTCACGATTCATGAAATCCTAAACCCTACATCAGAAACAACACCTGAAGCATTCAACCCTAAACCCTACGCCGAAAGCATCCCTAAACAAAAAACCGCCCATGGGGAGCGGGCCGGCACGGTCCCTGCTTTGAGCGTCTCGTAATTGTAAGTCCCACAAGTATCCCAAAGGGTCCAAGTATCATCATGGGACATACTTAGACCCCAAAATACCCTATAAGTATATACCAGGATGATACTTGGACCTTTTGGGTATACTTGGACCCCAAATAACCTATCTGTTTTTAAGGACTTGTGTAAAGAAGTAATAATAAGGAACCCTAAGAAGGTAGGTTGTTTGAGGTAGAGGTAACCAGGTCGGGTTTATGTTTGTAGGCCAGACAACGCCCGGAAGCGCAGCTGGTTTCAGTTCACCTTGCAGAAGGTATGCTTAGCGACGTTTAGCTTGTCCATACACTCTGACATACTAATACGTGTGCCTACATAAGTACCAGGATTATTCTTTGGGCTCCTTGTAAGTGTATGTATGTATGTATATATATATATAATATAGAGAGAGAGAGAGAGAGAGAGAGAGAGAGAGAGAGAGATAGATATACTGAAGCATATCCCCAAACCCTGCTCAAATTATTAAGGTTTTCATTTCTCGACAGTCAAACAGGCCCGGGTCTTCCAGCCACGTAGGTGCGGCATAGGTGATACTAGGGGTACGGCCCCCCACTCAGTAATAGTTGAATAGTTGAATAGTATTTATAATATAGATGTATTCGGACCTTAATAGTAGCCCTATTATAGACTCTTACTGTAAGGGGGCCGTACCTAAGTGATACTAGGGTTGACGGTATACATCTTGCATCACCTTATAAGGACCTTACGCTATGGGGATTACGGTATATTCCTTGTTATGGGTAATGCAGGAATATGTATATACATATATATATATATATACACATCATCAACCGTAGGTGGCACTTCGGTTAAGGGTTTAAATTAGAAGCGAGAAAGTTGGAACATTACTATCCTAATGTCCGCAAGGCATTGTGTAGGCAATCCCGCACTGCTTTAGGGCACCCTAAAGCGTTTCTGATCACAAGGAAACAACGTGTGGCAAACATATCCTGAGGTCCAACCGATTTCTTAGGAAGCTCTAAGTCTCAAGCGCCTAAGCCACGAACCAGGCAGTCTCAGGGTTTAGGGCTTAGGGTTTGAAACGCTAAACCACCAAACCCTATAAGCCCTAAACACTTGCTTTTTTGACAGCAACCTCTGCGTGACTGGTCTACTTGCGGAAGTGTCGTGCATCCCTTCCGGCGCTCTTCGTGCCCCCTGCGAAACTGTCAATAATATCAACTATATACGTTCTCGACAATACCCGTAGTCTCCCTTCTGAATTCGTGGTCCCTAAACTCTAAACCCTAAACCCTAACTACAGCTGAATAGCAGGACATGGCTGTGGTTTACCGAAGGATTCCACACCCAAAGCCCTAGAAGCCCGAGCACCACGGACTCCCAAAGGGGATTTAGTAACTATAAGGGGTTCTTTAGGGTTCCTTTAAAGGGGTCTATAGGGGTTCTATTATAAGGCTACAGGGTTTAGGGTTTACTTGAAGGGTCGGGGGACTTAGTAACTGGTTATTTTAGGGACTTGTAAGTACCATAACCCCAAATAGGGTCCCTTTTAGGGTACTTATAAGTCTACTTACTACCTACTTACTAAGTCCCCCGACCCTCCAAGTAACCCGAAACCCGCACAGTTTAAAACCCTGAAACCTTAAACGCCTAAACCCTCGCGACCCTAAATCCTGCCGAGAAGCTGGAGAAGAAGGCTTTCAAGAGTGCTGGAGGCTCCGACGACGACGAGCTTAAGAAGTGCCCTGGCGATGGCGTTGCTCCTGGGGGTTTGAGGGTTTTACAAAAGGATCCTTAATAATTAGAATAGAGTTCCTTTCAAGGGATCCTTAACAGGGTTAGGGTTTGGGGGTTTAGGGGTTTGGGGGTTCAGCGGGTTTAGGGTTTAGGGGTTTGGGGTTTAGGGTTTAGGGTTTGGAGGTTTTGTGTTTGAGTTTAGGTTCATTGAGGCTTGGTGATTAGAAACGGGTTGACGCTTTAAGATTTGAAGGCTAGATGCGCACCTAGAGCGCGACGTCGAAAACAGGATTGCAGTTGGCAGGGGTATGTAGGGTTCAACTTTCCTTTGCAAGCCAAGGGCACGCCTCCCCTGACCAATTTCGGGCTTAAGGCCTGTCTCACCAGCACTAATTAAATGTCAAAACAGCTATCGCAAACGTGACGCTGCCGCACAGAGGAGTACGAACTGTCGCACAGAACAGGCAGCCATACCAGTTAGTATTATTTTATTATTTGGTTGATAGATCAGTGGTGCAACATATTCCCACGAGGTTTTCAAGTGCTCACTGACAGCTCGCATACGGAGAGATAAAACCCTAACGGCCCTAACCCTCAACCCCAGACCCTGAACCCTCAAACTCCCAAACCCTAAACCCTGAACTCCTAAAAAAAAGAACTCCTAAACCCCAAAATCCTAAACCCTAAACCCTTGTTTTGATTTGGTTTCTTTGCCGTCAGCTGCATGCCTTTCAGCTGCGTCTGCTCGCTACGCCCTCAGTATCCGTTTTGCCCTTTTCATTCTTGGGCCCCCTTATGAAAACCAAGTTAGTTAACCAAATAGTAGGAAGAAGGTGTACCCTCATTATAACTGGGCTATACAGGAACCTAAACCGCCTCTGGTTGCAAGATCTATCCACTGATGCATCGCTTCTCTTCCGTTTACGGTTGATGCTGAGCCCTAAAGCCGCAAACCCCTAATTGGAAACCCTAAACTCCAGAGAGAGTCCTTACAATAATCCTAAGTATCTGCGCTCTATAGACCCTCGGGAAACTCTGGCATCCTTGGTTTGCTTGAACCTTGAAGCCAGCGCTGAGGAGCCTCGAACAAGTTCAGACCATGAAGGCGGAGGCGGCGATTTAGGGGTGTACCTAGACCCCCCCCAACTACCCTCTATTTTGCCTTAAATACCCACTATTAAGGACCATAAGGGCTCCATTAAAGGGCCATTGGGGGGTCTAGGTAGGGTCTGGGGTGTTGCGGTTTAGGGTTTAGGGCTTCGGGTATTTCAATTGGAAAATTATAAGGTCCTTGCCTCCTGTTTAGGGTTTAGGATGTAGGGTTGCGCAAGGGTGCAGGGCTTTGGAGCTTGGGCTCAGGATGAAGGGTTTAGTTTGGCTTTTCCAGCTTACATGTCGTAGCCTCCGCTGTTTTGGTAGGTTGGCCTTGGCTGCAGTGCCCTAACGTACTAGCCCTAAAATTTGGGCGTGGGAGAGCAAGATTAAGGGATAGCTTGGTTGCTCCATGAGGCTCCGAGCATGGATTCAATCTCTTAGTTTCGTGTTTGGGTACGAGGGTGGACTCAGTCACTGCGGAGCAGGAGCTTGCGTGTAGAAAATGCCATGCATGATCGCCAAAGCAGTGTAAACCCAAAACCGACATGATACTATGATCCTTCCAAAGGAATGGTACTCCTCCCGGACTTCTCAGTCTTGCAAGCACAGAAGTCGCAGATTTAGGATTTCATTAATGGGTGAAGCCTTGCCCAGGATAGGATTGAAGTTAGGTCCGACTGTACGGCCCTGCAATAAGACCTGAAGTCTGAAAGGAAGTATGGCTGTTTTCCAGACTAGAGGCTTTACAGGAATGACGGTCGGGCCTGTCATGCAGTTCACTTCGACAAAAGATCTCCAGACTGCGTGTTCATGATGGCTGAGTGTCCAGCCGATGTTCCTTGCGCTCAATCCAAAACCCCCAAACCGAAAGGCCTATACTAAAAAGCCTAATATAGGCTTACTTAGCCTATTGGAGAACTTTAAACTTTTTGGCTTCATATATTTGGTCTAGCTTAAAAAGTTTGAACTTTGTTTGGGCCTGGTTATTGGAGAAGAGAGTAGGGGGTCTAAATAATTTCCCATACTGTTGTGGGGCTCCATGGTATGATTGTAGTATGATGTACCCCAAACCCTATGCTAATTCTTAAGGCCCTATATTACCTAAACCCCCAACAGTGGGTGAAATACTGGCCCAACACCTACATGATTCTACATACTCCCGGGGTCCAGTTAAACCTAAACCGTTAGGAAGACGGGCCCCAGAGCACTGCCCTGAACGAAGATGTGCCGGAATGGTCCATGTTGCGAGATTGAACCCGAAAGCCGCACAGCACTTGCAGTAGAAGCCAGAAAGTTGGAACATGGGTTTACGAGGATTAGTGCTAGGATCCCTTATACTTTACTTTAGGGGCATGAGGATACTAATGTTCCAACTTTCTGGCTTCTATACAGCAAACATGGAACAGATAAGCAGGGCCTTTGAACCCTAAACCCCAAATTCTAAGCCCGATATAGGTCAGATCAAGGTGGGGTGCGATGTTGGTGTATGGCTGCTCGGAGCGGGGTAAGTTACCATTACTGAATACATGCAAGGTTTCTCGATGTCGGGAATAGTTAATTACATTCAGGATCCAGAATAAGGGTTACGGTTAACTCTCTGAGCACAGACAGATCTGGCTGTGCAGGTTTCAGCCTACCCTGCTCCCGCACCGTCACCGGCTCCTCCGCAACCCGATCCAGTCCCTTGGTCCGGGGTTTAGCTTAGGAGTATAGGATTTAGGGGTTCCGGTGCAGGGTTTAGGGGTTCAGGGTTTAGGTTTAAAGGGTTTAGGAGTTACGGTTTAGGGGTCAGGGGTTTATGGGTTGGTTTCTGGTCTAGGGCCTACCTGGACCCTACGGATCCTACTTTTGATTGGAACCCTCATTATGATGTGAATCCTTGGGAAATCGTATACCTTTGGGGGCAAAGGTAGGGTTCAGAGTTGGGAGTAAGGTTTCGTCTAGGCATTAGACCATTGGATGTTGGGGCTGCTGAGATGGCTTCTGACTTTCAGCGGGGCTTATAGTGCGGTGTTACACTGTTTGGGTGTCGTCATGTAGGGTTTGTGAGATTAGGATCCGGATGGGTGTTTTTTACCATATGGTCCCCATTGCAGTTCCTTTTCTGGTGCCTTACAGGGTCCTAAAAACACCAACTGGTTCAGCCAAATGGGTAGTTGTCAAAATGATGGTCCCTTTTTGGGTCCCTGTTAGGCTACGGCACCTAATGTTTAGGGTAACCAAAAAGTGCCATAATTGTGACAACCACCCAGATGGAACTTCAAACGGCAACTACAGGTAGGACTTGGGGTTGTAGGTGATGGAGCATCCCGGAATTGAAATTTGGAGCTTCAAGCCGGGGGGTGCGATGTTAAACGCTGTACTTCGGTTCCTGATCCCGCGTAGTCCCCAAACGTATATTACGAACAGGGAAGCTCAAATTTCAGACTTGAGCCGTAAACAGAATATCAATCAGAATCATGGCAGCAACATTGAAGAATGCCAATGATCATAACAGTATTCATAGCGAGTAGTAGTAACAGCAATAATGAACTAATCATAAAAACAATAGTCAGAATACTAAAAATAATAGCAGTAATAAAGTTGGTCCTGTGGTTGTAACAACAATAATGAACTAATAATTTTGATTTTGATAATAAGAATATAAACAATAGTCAGAAGACTAAAAAATAGCAGTAACACAGTTGTTCCTGTTGGAACCAGGCTCTGCAGAAGCAGATCACAGAACTGCAGGAGAGCCTGCGGGCCTCCCAGGCGCACTGCCGGCGCCTAAGTCTTAGAGTTTAGGGTTTAGGGTTTAGGGCTGCGGGAAGATGACATCAGATGTCTGTGGGAACGGGATGGCGTAATTAATGTAGGAACCTGATTAAGAAACCCTGGGCCCATAACCCCCGATATAGTAGGATCCATATTAAGAACCCTAATAAAGGCCCAAGGTTTCTTAATCCGGTTCCTACACTATGGAACGATAAACCTCTTAATTAACCTGAGAACTGGAAAGCTGTTGGGAGTATTGCTTTTCAAGCCCTCAATGATGACGGCGACGCCTTCGACTACCATCCGCTGCTTCTGCCACTGCTACTACCACTCCAACCAGCATCGCCAGCACCACTACTAGTTCTCTAATCATTAGCACGATTCCTGTCATTGCCACTAGTGACATCGCTAGTCGTTTCCTTGAGTTGGAAGCTCGTGGTTTGTTCTGTTCAACCAGCATTTCCCTGCAGCACCCGTAGTGTTCGAAGCTTCATTGCCTCCAAACGGCGTCAAAGACCGCAGATGTCGCCCAGCGACACATGGCAGCTTCAAGAACGTGAGCGATAGACACGAGAATGTAATGTAGAAGCCTGCATTGCAGCTTCCTCGTACCCCCCCCCACACACACAAGCACTGTGCCGTTTAATGCTTGGAAACTCTTACGTTGCCAGATCGAGCCCAGGCGCCGAAAAGGAGCAGAAGATCTTCCAGCTGCAAATGGAGCAGGAGCAGGTGGGCACTGCTACGACGACGACTACCAGCCGTAGTCGTATTTCATGCTCGTAGGCAGGCCGTAGCAGTGGTGGTGCTGTTGCTGTGGTGCTGGTGGTGTTTGGTGGTGTTGGCGGAACAGTGGTGACTGTAGTTGCGTCAGTAGCACGTAGAAGAAGTACTGCGCGTGTTTGTTTTCTGCAGTGGCAGCGGTGTTCCTGGCAGTCGTGGCAGTGGTAGTTGCGTTTGCAGTGCCACCAGCCGCAGTAGAGATAGTTAATTAGCATTGAACTGAGCTGATGGTGTCGGGCATCTTGATTCTACTTAACGAAGACATCCCGGAGCTGTGTCGCACCATTCTTCGGAGACTTGACCACAACAGCAAACCTCGAGCCGTGCATCTGACTTCCGGCATGCCTGAAATCATTCTGCATCATGGTTTCCGTACTTGGTACCCTCCTTCACCATCTAGTCACTTTGTCCGTAGGACAGCGGGAAAAAGGCGATCTCAATTTGACGACCGTCGCAGCGAATGCAACAAATAGGAGAACCAATGTGACGCTGAATCAAGGATCGTCAGTAGCAGGAGGCACCCATATCCTAGACATCTCGCTCCCTTTCGTTGACAAACGCCGCGGCGCCCTATTCCTTCAAAAATCCGGTGCGAGCATCGGGTGATGGTACTGTAGGAACCTGATTGAGAAACCCTGGTCCTGAAACACCAAAATAGTAGGATTCAAACAAGGAACCCTAATAAAGACCCAAGGTTTCTTAATAAGATTCCTAACATGACACGAGGTGCAGTCCACCATGCAAGGCTTGAAGGAGTCCTTAGCGACGCGGCTTCCTGGGCTTGTTTTCTAGAGCTAAAGTATGGAATGTATGTGCTTTGGAGTCGAGAGATTCGAGTTCAACCTGTCGAGTATAGAGGCGTTGCCTGCTTCTTTGTTTCGTGTAGAGCTGCTGAGGTTGTTTTGACTCGGCAGGCGGAACATGCTGAGACACCAAATCAAAGAACACATCATGTTTACAGCAGCTGTTTGGCGCTTTGGGTTGGCCGCACTAATCGAACTGCTGCTGCTGTACTGCTACTGCTAATGCTATTTCTACTACTTCTATATTTACTACTTCTATTACTTCTACTTCTACTACTTCTACTACGACTACTGCTGCTACTACTACTACTACTGCTACTACTACTATTACTACTACTACTACTACCCACTACCACTACCACTACCACTACCACTACCACTACCACTACTGCTACCACTACCACTACCACTACTACTACTACTACTACTACTACTACTACTACTACTACTACTACTACTACTGCTAGTACTACTAGTACTACTAGTACTACTCGTACTACTAGTACTACTAGTACTACTAGTACTACGAGTACTACTAGTATTACTAGTACTACTAGTACTACTAGTACTACTAGTACTACTACTACTACTACTACTACTACTGCTACTACTACTGCTACTACTACTACTACTACTACTACCTACTACTACTACTACTACTACTACTACTACTACTACTACTACTACTACTACTACTACTACTACTACTACTACTACTACTGCCTGCTCCTCCTCCTCCTGCTGCTACTTTTGCTGCTTCTGCTGCTTCGACGACTTCAGTTGTAACTGAGGCAGAGAAGGAGGAAGAGGCGAAGCAGTCCGAGAAACTTAAAGCAGCCTTGCAACAGCTTCCAAGCTGCATGTCGTGTTTTGGGTTCACGTAAGGTTAAGGATTGGTTCAGGGTTTAGGGTGTGTAGCAGAATGTGCTTCTTTAGGAATCGGGTCAAACCCATGTATCGCACGCTTGCATCAGCATGTCGTCCCGCCCCAACCACCCCAATTAATTATTCTAAAATTGGGTTTGGCGTTCACACCCAAAACCCTCTTGAAGGGGAGGCTTTCTTGCTCTCTGCTTCCCTTCGCAGTTCGACACGTAAACGACTCCGCGTTTGACAGCAAACCACAGCCGAGATGGATTGGTGTCGGGTGTGGGTCCTCGTGGCCTGTGCCGGCCGCTCGATCAGAAGCAAGGGTTTCCAACAGTCCAACAAACAACCCACCCGTCGACATCCTGTAAGGGCGCCCCTCCCCCCACACCTCCCAGGTCAGACCCGAAAGTGTCCAATGGTCTGGGGCCCATATGTACTGATGGCAGAGAGGTCATGAGCGGGGCGGCGTCACTACAGTCCTCGTATAAAGCCCTCCCTCACCAGTCTGACTAGACGCTCGGCCGGGGACCTCGGTCGGAGCCTCGAGCGGCTATGCAAACGGTCAGCAGCTCTCTCGGCAGTTTACCTTTAGGGTTTGTTTCACGGGTTGGAATTTAGTATTGCTGTTGTCACTGTTGTCGTTGTTTTCAAGTGCATCTTCGCTATATCCGAAGCCTAGGGGCCTGTTCGCAGGAGTGGCTGCAGTAGAGCATCGCGGGTGACACAATGTTATAATACATATACATATATATATATGCACATATACATACATATATGTATATAGTAGAGTATATACTACATACTTATAGGCAGCCGACCAGCCGGAGGTACCGAGCATGTCAGCAAGGATTTTGCACGACAAGCTCAGCAATCATTGGCCATGCTGCTGGCATGTCAAAACGCTTGTTGTGAGTAGTTCTTTGCTTCTATCCCGACCTGCAGCTGAGGATTTCAGCGACTTGTCTGCGAATGCACGCCTAAACCCTACACCCCTAAGCCATAAACCCCAAATTCTAAACCCCATATGGATTCATTTTGACGTCTTTCCGGTTGGTGAGGGCTCTACAGCCCATGTCTTCCCGGTAGACTCGTTTGGAAGTTGTTGTTCGGGTTGCCAGTCCTTCTTGTTGCCGGACGTGAGTTGTGGGAAAGAGCTTTCGGTTTCATCTATCAGAGTGTCAGTGCAAGTTCCTGATTGAAGGTCTTGTTCTGAAAACCCGGAATAAGTTTGCAAATCTTGCAGATTTGTAATTCATATACAGTTCAGATACCGAGGTTTGCACAAAGTGCGGCGAATGTGAGGGCAACAACCCCCCATCCGGCTGATATTTTACCATTTTTTCAGCTTCCGCATACAGAAATCACTGGAGTGGTCCTTGAAACTTATGTGGTCGCATGTGAGTCGTGTGGGTCAGAACGTTCAAAGAAGCGACTTGTCAACTCAAGGCTCAGCATTGCAGTACTCTGGCAGGTGCCGACTTGCATGACGAAATCACAGCCTCCATGGCATTCTTTTGCTAGTTTCCTGAGTCGTACCCTTTTGCCCCTTTAGTTTATGGTTCCATTATTAAAACTGAGTGTTAGGAAAAGGGTACCCTTATTGCGAAGGGGCTACTCAGGAGCCTAGAGTTTCAAGCTAGAACACGACGACTTGTAACACGAACTTCTGAAACCCAGAAGCCTGACATCAAGAGCCTCAGATGCAGACGGTCTCGCAGGCACATGTCGCTTCCACATCATCTACATGGGTACAGAGAGCGGTAGCTGTTGCGATACTTTACATGTCAATGTGACTCACGAGGGGTTTGGGATTTGGGATTGGTTTCAAGCTCCGGCTTGCCCACTGGACTCAATCTCAAGCTGAATCCTAGATGTGTTGGCTTCCGAAGGAGTCTTAACGAAAGGTACAGGATCCGTAGCTGTGACAGCTACGGATCCTGTACCTTTCGTTGTCCCGAAACAAGTCACTTTCAAGCCCTTGTTACCTTGATCTGAAACCCTGTACTCATGAATCAGAGTGAGTTCCGGAGCTTCTTTTGATGCATGTCTCCGAGGATGTGGCGGCCGTATACCTTGATGCCCGGGAGGCCCCATGGGGCGGGGAGGGTTTCGTGGGGCTTCAGGATGCAAGGGCTAAGATCCTACCCTATACTGCTTTAAGCTGTTTTCTTAATTTGTGTTAACGTGCAATAACAATCTTACAGAAAGTAGGTTATGCTAGGAACCGAAAATAGACTGTACAGGGAAAGATACAGGTGTTAAGACAAGGAAGTGATAAGAGAGGGTCTGGGCACTTGAGCTAACAGGGCTGTGGCAGTAGTGTGCTCCAGTTTTGCTGACGGCTGCAGATTTTATGGTTGAGCTTGAGGGTTTGAAAGTGTTCAAAGTTTTGGGTTTGGGCTGTTTAGGTAGTTTCGGGTTTAGGGTTTTTCGAGTTCACGCCTGCTCGTGTGTGTGTGTGTGTGTGTGTGTGTGTGTGTGTGTGTGTGTGTGTGTGTCTCTGTGTGTGTGTGTGTGTGTTTGTGTGTGTTTGTGTGTGTTTGTGTGTGTGTGTGTCTGTGTCTGTTGTCTCGGCAGGCTTTGCAGGTTGGCGATTCGATTTTGGGTCCCGGGAATTCTAAGATTTGTTCTTGTTGTTTCCACATGAAGTCTAGCTTGGCAAGCTTTCGCGACCCATCGAAGCTAACTTTGCCAGTCCATGTCCTAACAGCATCAATGCGATCACTTGCCATACGAACTCTAGAAATGTCTCATGATCGTAATCATTCCTGATATGATATCGTTACATGAGGACCAGTAGAAGAGTGCAAGTATACTTAGCTACGGTGATGCTCGTCGTCGGCATGAACGCTGTAAGTATCGTTGTTGTTTGATATATTTGTCCCCTTTATCCTTTTTCGCAGCCGCATAGGTGCTGGTAATGTCAACGTCACCTGCCTTGCAGCTAGGGGTCCAGACTCACATGCCGCAAAACAGTTCTTGTGGCATCATTCCGTTCCCAGAGTTTGGCAAGAAAGACGGAATATGACGGTTTGCAAGCAAACATCGGCAACTTTGGTCGGGTGCTTTCGAAGTGTTGTTCGACGGTTGACCTCTGCCGCCTTTCATGTGCGCATGGGCAGTACTTACATACCGATAGAAAGTCTGTATGCCAAGAGCTTGTGCCTACTTGGAGGGTCGGGGGACTTAGTAAGTAGGTAGTAAGTAGACTTATAAGTACCCTAAAAGGGGCCCCAATTGGGGCTAAGTCCCTAAAATTGCCAGTTACTAAGTCCCCCGACCCTCCAAGCACGGTCCCCCTCTCCCACGCGAAGCCCATGACCGACGGCCTGCTTCACCCTAAACTCTCACGTCCTAAACGCTTGAAACCCCTAAAACCCCAAACCAAAACCGTGCACCCCTAAACACTAAACTCCTAAATCCCAAAACCCCTAGAACCCTACACCCCTAAACACTAAACCCCTAAACTCCTATATAAACCCCTACACCTCCAAACCCCAAAACCCCCTAAACCCGGCAGGACCCTGCAGTGCTTTTGCAGAAGGCGAAGGAGGGCGAGGAACGAATAGACGCTTTGGAGGCGCCTCGAAGGGATTCCTTTAAGGATTCCTTTTAAAGGGATCCCTTTAAGGGTTCCTTTTAAAGGGATCCCTTTAAGGGTTCCTTTTTAAAGGGATCCCGTTAAGGGTTCCTTTTAAAGGGATCCCTTTAAGGGGTCCTTTTTAAAGGGATCCCGTTAAGGGTTCCTTTTAAAGGGATCCCTTTAAGGGTTCCTTTTTAAAGGGATCCGGTTAAGGGTTCCTTTTAAAGGGATCCGTTTAAGGGTTCCTTTTAAAGGGATCCTTTCAGAGGGATCCTTTTAAGGGATCTTTTTAAAGGGATCCTTTTAAGGGTCACATACTATAAGAGTATCATAGGGGTTTTAAGGATCTTCGCTTCCAGAAGCTCTTCGTCACATTCTCTTGGGGATTTGCGGTTGAAAGGGGTTTAGATGGGGGTTTAGGGGTTTAGGATGCTTTAGGGTCTAGGGGTTAGGGCGTATCTCTGAGGTGAGATGGACTGTTATGCTGCATTCGATGGAAGTCCTCCGAGATGGTGATGAGCTACAAGTAGCTAGACTGCTCACCGCTGACATTATGACATTGCAGTGGCAACCATTAAACTCTGCATTCAGCCTTCCTTGCGAAGCCAGCAGCTTGCTAGCTCAATTGCAGTTGCCTCCTCCTACTGTCACCTTGCGAAGTTCTCTGAATTAGGGCCCCTTTTCAGGTCGCAAAATAGTACGCCACCCTTATCCAAAGGGCCCAATAAAGGGAGCTTAATTTTCAGGCCACGTACTTCCCTCGGCTTCGGTCGTCCCGACTCACTACCTGCTCCGATCTTCGACTAAGTCTTGGACTAGCTGCAATCGCGATCCGGACGAAGCACCCCTTTACTTATAGTCTCCTTTGGACTTATGTTTGATTTGTGTTCATATAAAACCCAAGAGAACTTTTTAGATAGTATGGTTCAACGGGGGTATAGCCACCCGTATTCGTAAATCGTAGAAACCTGACGGGCCCGGGTCACTAGCATGAAGCTCGATACCGAATCCTGAAGCTTTTGGAATTCACTTTCGTAGCTGACCTTGATACCTTACAGAAACTAGGATGCCCAGTGCTACCCTTATTCCCATTCTGTAGTCCTAGGTTCCTTATAAAGCTACCCAATTCCAAAAAGGAGCCCTTTTTATTCCTAGGTTACTGGGCATCCTAGGAAAGGTCTGATGAAAAATTCGATTCCCTTATAGTCCCTTCATTCTGCTAGAATGCACTATGCCCCAAAAGCCCTGTCCTAATGATTGTAACGATGCAGGCCCCTATATTGCTTCTGCATAGACAAGAGCTGCGCCGCAATCACAGTCCGTTAGCCGGATATTAAGTTAGACGCATGCCCATTTTCTTGTGATCAGGCGGAAAACAAGTCCATCTTGGCCGCTTGGTAGCAATTTCAGCCGCCGCTGTTTGGTCTCATGTTGACTGATTGTTGGTGGTTGTGAAGACTCTTTGCCAAAGGGTTGTGTTTCTGACCGTGCCTGCCATGTAGGCTTCCATCAGTACAATATTTCTCCGTAGGGGAAAGCCCTAGACCCTAAACTCTCGGCTCAGACCTGACGACGTCGGAGGAAGCGATTCTGATCGAAAGCCCTCCACCGGGCCTGGCGCTGCCTGGCCTAGCGGCACTTGATTTGGAGGAGCGGCTTCCGCATCCTCGCCACTGAACTTCTGATTCCTCTGAAGATAGGCATCTCGTGGAGGAATGGCATTCGCATCGCCTGCAACGGATGCTCCAGCAGATGGAAACCCGCAGAGAGGAACACGCACAGATGCTGGAATGGAGGCTGCAAAAGGTTGCCTGGCATGTGGTATTTCTGCTGAAGCGCAATCAGTCCTCGAACCAAGCTCTACCTACAAGGTATTCTGATTGTAGCCGGGAGGAAAAGGGCCCGCGAAAAAAAAGAAATTAAACCAAAGACTGAAAGACTCAGACCAGAACGGACCCTAAACCTAAACCCTAAACCCTAAACCCCCTAAACCCCCTAAACCCTAAACCCCCTAAGCCCTAAACCCCCTAAACCCTAAACCCTATAGACCCAAAGGGACCCGTAGTCATTTCCAAGTGGGGTTATATAGATTACAAACCATCCTCCTGATGAATTATGGGCTGTCACGGCATGCTACATATACACAACTTCCCATGAACCTCTAAGAAGACTCTAAACCCTGATATAAACCCTCAACCCGTAAACCATAAACTGAGCCCTAAACCGTTACCCTAAGGCTCTAAGGACTCATTTGTTCAAGGCTTTTGGGCCGAAAGACCACATTATATAATGCTTTTGGACCATTTTGGGCCTTAAGGTTCCCAGAGACTCCAATATCCTTTAGTTAAGGAATATACCGTAAACTATAGTAGGATCCTTAATGTGGTTTAAGGAATATTCCTGAATTAAGGGATATTGGAGTCTCTGGGTTATGACTCCCCATGAACCTCGAAAGAAATATGTCTTCCCAGCGACTCCAATATGCCTTAATTAAGGATTATATCTTAAATCATATTAAAGTTCCTATTATGATTTAAGGTATACTCCTTAATTAGGGGGTTTGGGAGCCTCTGTCTTGCGCCATCCTGAGACCTCGACAGCCTGTGCCAAAGCTGCCCGCTTGTCGGTGGCATGACCGTGCCTCCAGACTCCACCCTTAAACCCTACTTGGAGGGTCTTTAGGGGACTTAGTAAGTAGGTAGTAAGTCGACTTATAAGTATAAGTACCCTAAAAGGGACCCTAATTGGGGTTATGGTACTTATAAGCCCCTATAATAGCCAGTTACTAAGTCCCCCGACCCTCCAAGTAGAAAGTATAAACCCTTCAAACCCTGTAAACCCTACAGTCCTAAAAGCCGTGTAAGCCTATACGCCCCATAAACCCTGGACCCAGGTCTTCTCTGATTGAAGTATCCCTCCAATTTTTGTTAACCTTGCGGCCTAGGGTTTACCTTAACCCGGAAGAACCTACATTTTTAAGGACTTATATGGTACTTATATGAAGAAATCATAACAAGGCACCAGGTTATTTAGGATTCAGGTAGGGTTTAGGGTTTAGCGGCTACTTGACCCGCAAGCTGTTGCAGTTGTCGTTGACACTGTCAGTGCAAATGCTAACCTTGCCCAGTCTTTGTGACATGTGTTCTTGGTACAAATGCCAGCCTTGCTCGTTCTTCGTTTCAGACATGTCCATGATTGCCACAGACATCTGGAGACTAGCCTTGTGCCTCTGTGCATTGGTTATGTTGTGAAGGAAACAGTCGTCAGAAGTTTCGGGAAAAAGGTTTCAATAGTTGATAAACTGTTGTGCAATAGCGTGAATGCTCATGCAGTTGTCTTGTGCACCTGGAAGCGTTTTTGTTGTGACGCGCGTGCATGAGCCCTGAACCATACAAGCCCTGAGCCCTAAACCCAAGGCCCCAAACTGGTTTAGGGTTTTAGGGTTTAGGGTTCGGTTTAGGGTTTAGGGTTTAGAGTCCAAAGCCCAAACGCAAAAATCCGGAACCCCAGGCAGAGCTCAAGGAAGCCAAAGCGCAACTCTCGAACTTGGACTCTGCCCAGGCTAGGCTAGAAGAGGGCTCGTTGAAGGAGCTTTAATCATTTGCATCGGGTTAGGGTCTTATGGGCGAGGTTCGGAGGTTCAGGGCTTAAAAGGCTCTTGCGCTTACAGTTTGAGGGGTTAGGCTTCAAGGTTAAGCCTGGTAGAGGCATGGACTCTTGAAGGCGTTAGCAGAACAGAGCAGTTCTAAGTTGAGCTAGGTTTCACGTAAAGTCGTGATTGAGGCGCAATGGGATTTGGGAGTTTGTGGAATCTGCAGCCTGCAAGCCCCGTTTGAATTGTTCGGGTAAACCCGCGTAGTCGTACCAGCACTTCAAGGCCCCTGAACGCATGACCCCTTACCCTAAACCCTAAGCCCCACTTTATAATACACAAAACCTAAGCCCATCTGAGCCCCTAAACCTCAAGTCCCCATGTCACATGGGAGAGCCTGCGCAAAGTCCTAAACCGCAAGGCACTCGATCCGAACCCTTAAACTCTGAAGCCCGAAGCCCGAAATCCTAAAACCCTACTATCCTGAAACCCTAAGACCCTGAAACCTTTGAGCCCTAAAGCTTTCAAAACCCCAACAACCTCAACCTAAGCCGAAGACCCTACTAGGGCCCCCAACGCTCTAAACCTTGATACGTAGAATCGGGCTTTGGGGCATATTCTACTCGAACTATATACTAAGGACCCCCAAATAGATCGTTTTGGGGTAGATTATACTATAACTCTAAACAAGGAGCCCCAAGTAAATCCTGCCTTAGAATACTATAACTATACACAAGGAACCCTAATAAATCCTGCCTCAAAACCCTGAGCCTAAGCCCATAACTTGAACCCTGAAAAACCTACCCTTTTTAGGGTTCCTTATTATGATCTCTCTCTGTATTCAAGTCCTTAAAAAGGTAGGTTATTCAGGGTTTAAGGCCCGAAGCCCTGAACCCGAAACCCTAAACCCGAAACCCTAAACCCTAAACCCTAAGAAATTAAACCCAAAGCCCCTAGGAGCACCAAGGCTCCAAATCCTAAAGAATCAAAGGGGAAAAGGAGGGACCCTTAATGGGGACCCCTACCCTATAATGGGCTATATCATGAGTATATAATAAGTATATTAAGGGTATATACCTAGGGGTCCTTATTAAGGGTCCCTCCTTCTACCCTTGGAAAGAAGCCCTTTGGCCCAGGCTGCCCTGGCTGAGTCCGAGGCAAAAGCTTCCCGTCTCAGCATGGCGTTACTATAAGGAGGAGGCTTAGGGTTTAGGGCCTGCTTTTGCCCTTTTGAATTTAGGGCTCCCTTACTAAAGCTGGGTTTTACGAAAAAGGGTACCCTTACTGTAAAGGTGCTGCTCAGGAACCTAGTAAGTATACTTTCACTTTTTGTTCATCTGAAACCCAAGAGAGTATGAGACAAGATTATGTTCACTATGATTCTAGGGGGGTTATAGATGGGCTTAGGACTTCAAAGATTCGTTTAAAACAGGGCTTAGGGTGTTTTTAACTGAGCTGAGGACTGCAGGTATTATCTTCTCAAAATTGGGTTTGGGAGTTTCAGGGGTGTTAAAGGATGCTTAAGTTTAGAGTATTTAGACGTCAGCCTCTCTTTGTTTTTTCTGGGGGTTAGTGTTTGGATACGGAATTCGCTTGTTTTAAGTGCTGTAGAAGTTTACGGGGCTTGGGGGTTTATGAATTCAAGTTGTAAGGCTTCCGATCAGGGTTTGAGGGCTTGTGGTGGTGTTGTTGTTCGGTGCAGGATCTGTCAGGATGGCCCTGACATGATCCGGCAGCCTAAACTTTTGCTGTTAGCAGCGGGTGGTTGAAATTGGGGTATGTTGCAGTACGGTGGATGAGAGAAATTCTGCATTACCCATAATAATGAATATGCCACAAAATTCCCATAGCTTAGGGTCCTTAAGGTAATGCAGGATTTATATCATCAACAGTATGTATGTATATGTTTGTATCTTTATACGCGCATATTCAGAAGGTCACCCCTAAACCTTGAAAAATACCCGAAACCTGATTCTGCTCTCAAGCCTAAACCCTTGAGCCCCAACTCCTAAAAACATCAAACTGCAGCCCAGGCGAAAACCCTCTCCGATGAAATCCAAGAAATCGCCGAACAGATCGGCGCGCAGCTGGGCGACAAGAATGTTGTACTCGGTTGCTTGGAGGATCGGGGGACTCAATAATGGGTTTTTTTTCGGGACTTATAAGTACCATAACCCCAATTAGGGTCCCTTTTAGGGTACTTATAAGCCTTCTTGTCGCGGGTTGGGGCTTTGGGGTTCAGGGCTCAGGGTGCAAAGTCTTAGGCTTCGGGTACTATAGAGGCCTAAGTAAGTACCAAAACTGTTGTGGGGGGTTCCTTAAATTATGATTATAGTATAATGGGCCCGAAAACCCTATTCTAATTATAAAGGCCCAAGTATTAGTCCATCAGGCCAAGGTACATCTGCAGAATCCAACATCCAGCAGGAAGCTTCGGACAGCAAAACTGAAAGCAGCGACCTCGAGCATTAGGAATTAGGAACCTGAAAACACAGTTAATCCCCCCCTTGACCAACCCCCAAACAGTTCCAAGATGGGCTCGCGTTCCGGCCTAGCTAGTGATGAGAGTAAACCCGCGATTTCAATTTAGGCTTTTGGGTGGCGCATGGGAGTTCAAAAAATGTACGGTTATACGACAAACACTACCCAGAACAAGCCGCTAGTTTCAAGAAGAGACACCTAGGTCCCCAAAAGCTTCTGTCTCTCCAGGGGGGCTGGGCTGCTGTCATTCTTTCAGCAGCCCTCGACGGAGGATTTGCTTCGAGATTCGGACCGAACTAGTCCTATTTTTGGGTCCTTATATAGTACTATACTATTAAGGTACTGTATTAGGGCCCCCTGTTTTCGGAAACCCCCATATATCGATCTAAGGTGAGTTTGGTTTAGAGTTTGGATTCGGAGTTGAGGGCTTCGGGGATGAAGTTTGCGATCTGGCTCTCAACTGAAGAGGGTTCCGGGAGTTGGGTTTTAGAGCGTTGGGGTGTCAGATCTAGCGCACCCTCAAGAAGTGTCAGTTGATGTTCTCAAGGTGTATGGATAGTGGGGTTGAGAAACTTTACCGCTGGAGTTCACCGTCAAGTGTTTCGGCTTCCAGAGATTTGGGTTCAGATTCCAGAGTTTGGAGCGTCATTGTACTTAATGTCGAGTTGCGCTTTTTGGACTTCCATTTGCAGGGCGTGTATGGTTTGGATACGAATGTAACGACAACTGTCACTAGTCATGATGATGTTGATGATGAGCGTGGTAATGCTGAGGAAGTAACTTACGAAACGTAGGCTGTACATGGCATTGATGATATTGGTGGTGATGGCGCGAGAACGAGTCCGGTCATGGTCGCTGGTGCGATCATGACGTCGAGTATCATTATGATGGATCTGTACCATCGCATGTTTTACAAGTGTCCTGAGGCTCTGTCAAGCACTCGCACACATCCTGAAATTAACGAGCAGCCCAAAATGCAGGAAACTGACATGCACACGCACACAAACAGCAAACGTATCCCAATGTAAACGGACCCCCGGCGAGTTTTTATCTGGTTGCTAAGCAGCAAGCTCCTCACGGCCTTACACTCGAAGCCCCCTTCGTTAAACCCTCCCCAAGGGTCCATGGACCCTTAGGGCCCAAAGCAACAACAACACTAATCAAGGCGACATCAAGGCCGAGATCGGCAAGTTGAAGTCGAAGTGACATCCGCCAGGTGGGACCCTTTCTACTGGGGTTGCGGGGTGGGGGTGGTTAGGGACAAAGGCCCTTCCACCCATTCGAAGCTTTCCTCATGCAGTCCCAAGTCTGGAACCCACGTTGCTGCGGGCTGCGTGTTAGCTATACTTCGGTGTGGACTTAGGACTTATGGGGTTTAGGGTTCGGCTGGCCTAGATTGTATTGAGGTGGAGTCCGATATCACGAATCTTCCATCGAAGTGGGACGTTCGAGAAGATGGTGTGACGTTCAGGTACAGTCAGAAATGCAGAAACTTGCGGAACCCCACCAACACACCCTGAACCCCTAAACCATAAATCCGTCAACCCCAAAAAGCCAAACCCTAAACCCTAACGCCCTAACACCGTAAAACCCTAAACCTGACACCCTAAACCCAAAGGAAACCCCAAACCCTAAATCCCTTAACCCAAAGGAACCCCCAAACCCTAAATCCCTAAACCCAAAGGAAGCCCTAAACCCCAGAGCCTCGAAAATCCCTCTGTGGTCGAGGCCCAGAGCCATCGGCCGCGAAGAATCGCTCGCAGCGCGCGGGCAGTTTATTCTGAAGCACTGGCTCCGTGTGAAATACAATATGTGAACCAAGTCTTGTGGGTAGAGTGTAGGGTTATATCATAGATCAGGCCAGGAAACTATTGGACTTGAGACCACAATGGCGCAGTTTTCAATCCACCCTCAACCCATAATCCATCTAACTCATTAGTTCCAAAAGTGATGCATCCAAGATGTAGGTCAGAGTTAGTCGCAAGTTTCGGAGCTGAGTCACTGGATGTGGGTCTTCGCTGAGAATCCAACCTTCGAGACGAGTGTCGCATCGTAATACAAGGGCCTAAACATAATTATCGAAGTCAACAGACATAGTATTAGGTTCCTTGAAATTGCATTCTACAATATATCCCCCCAAAAATTACCTATTCCAATTTGGGGGTCCCTAAGGTTAGTTTTTGTATAATATGCCCCGAAACCCTATTCTATGTATAAAAAGGTCTCTCTATATCAATCTTCAGAGGACCACTTGGAGGGTCGGGGGACTTAGTAAGTAGGTAGTAAGTAGACTTATAAGCACCCTAAAAGGGACCCTAATTGGGGTTATGGTACTTATAAGTCCCTAAAATAACCAGTTACTAAGTCCCCCGACCCTCCAAGCAGGCACCGCCTTGTTGGAGGATTCTGGCCTGGTGGGCCACAGATCTCTTGCAATCGCCTATCTGTGACACGACATGACCTGAGCCGGCTGTGATCTTTACCTGGAACCCAAAAAACCTACCTTCTTTAGGGTTCCCCATTATGACTTCTTTACATAAGTCGCAAAAAACGTAGGTTATTTGCAGCGATGGTATCCCCGCAAAATCAGAATTATCCCAGATCCTGCCCCCCCCCCAACCCCCCAAGCCGAAACTTGGCACGCCCCAAAGTCCTACCATCCAGACTTAACCGTGGTTTAAATCTCCAGCCGCTAGCTGCCTGTTATAGGCTCTCGGAAGTCTGTGAGTTTAGGGTTGATCCGTATTCGCCACGACAGAACTGTTCAGGCTGTAGGAGTCCCGAGAACGATTCGGGTTTGGGGTTTTAGGGTTTTAGGGTTTAGGGTTTAGGGTTTTAGGGTTTAGGGTTTAGGGTTTTGGGATTTAGGGTTTTGCAGAGCCTCCAAGGGTACCCTAGTCAGGTGAACCCCTGAAGGAGTGCATGCTACCTAGGGCCATGGAGCCCTCCATGCGCTTCAATGGGCCTCCATGGGCAACGATGGTTTTCATACACTCCTTAGGGTTTAGGGTTTTGAGGCTTTGGGTTTTAATTAGGGGTATAGGATTTAGGGTTTAAAGGTGAGGGGTTGTACTGACAAGGTTCCTTGGAAGCCCATACTGAGTCTGACTTCGGTCCGCTCAAGCATTCAAGATGCTGCGCGGCCGGACCCCCGACCATACATATTACTCTTGTTGTTTCTGCACTTCCGACACCACAAGAAGTTCTTGTTCCCGCCCTCTGAGCCCTAAATCCTAAACCCCTAAACCCTCAAGACTAACCCCTAAACCCTTATTCCCCTAAGCCCTAAACCCTCAAGACTAAACTATTCATCCTAGATGCTTCGACCTCTAGAGACTGAAATCAGGTCATGTCCGTGTTCGGCGCAGACCCCTGCCTTTGCAGATTCCCTTTCGTATTGTTTACAACTTATAGACGGCATGGTCGAGCGCTTTGGGAGAAAAATCTGTGAAAGAACTGCCTCGGCTGGCTCTTGAGGTTCGGTTGAGGTATTTCAGGCTGTTACGTGATGGCCATTAGACTTATGTCTGTCCAAGCACTCTTCTGTGAGATGGACATAACTCTGGACGTCCTGGTGTTGAGCTTATTCGAAACCCACCCTTCCACCTCAAAACCCTATACCTTAACTCACCTCGGGCTTCGTGTGCAACACTAGTGGTACACTTGGGTGGGTGCCTTTAAGTGGTTCCTTTTGGGGCCCTAAACCCTAAACCCTAAACCATAAACCCTAAACCCTAAACCATAAACCCTAAACCCTAAACCCTAAACCATAAGGAGCAATGTCGTGCAGCAGAGCACCTTGACGTTCACGGATGCTTGTGTTAAACCTTGAAGCCTCTAGTCACTCAGGGTTCCTTTAAAGGGATCTATAAGGGTTCTATAAGGGTCTAGGGTTTAGGGTTTAGAGTGCTTGGAGGGTCGGGGGACTTAGTAACTGGTTATTTCAGGGACTTATAAGTACCATAACCCCAATTAGGGTCCCTTTTAGGGTGCTTATAAGCCTACTTACTGCCTACTTACTAAGTCCCCCGACCCTCCAAATAGCTATAAGTGGTGTTATCAGTCCCTTAATCGGTTATATGTACAGTTGCCCTGCTTATATAACCTCACTTATAGCTACCCATGAAGCTCCAAGAGTAGACCCGAAACCCTAGAACCCCCCAACCCCTATATGCATCCTGCGTTAGACCAAGACACCCACGCAACTAAGGACCATGCCGCCCGGGCCTCATGGCATGCCACCACCAGGACCGAAACTTTGTTAAGGAGTGTACTTCAGTTTAAGTTTCCATCTATATATATATATATACCATATTATTTACTAATTATAGATTCCTAACATGGTAACTTATGTAAATTAAAGCACCGAAAGCAATGAATTCATGTCGGGGCTTCCAGGGATTAGATAGAGGTTTGGCGGTTAGGGGTTTAGGGTTCAGGGTTAGGGTTATCCTAGACCCCCCCCCGTCCCCTCTAATAGATCGTGAATGCCCGCGATTAGTGCAAAGACAGATTTGTATGACATCACGGAAACTGTTTCATTTTCACGATTAGCAATATCATGAGCAGCATCATCTGCAATCATCATTCTCTTTATCATCAGCATCAGCATCATTATAATCCTAATATTGTTCACCATCGTCATTATCAACATCATTGTCACAGTCAGTAAGATATTTATCATCATTTTCATCATATTCGTCATCATCAGAATGATCATGCTCATGAACATAATCGTCGTCGTTGCCGTCATCAACATTTTTATTGTCTCAAGCATCTTCATCTTCTTGATGACCGTCATCATTGTCTTTAACAACATCATTACCACCGTCATCAAGATTTTAATTATTGTTTGCAGCATCTTAGTCTTCATCATAATGACCATGATCATAATCAGCATCGTTACCGGCCAGCGAATGCGTGGTCTCGAGAGGATATGCGACGGCCGGACGCTATTAAGCCCCCCCCCCCCCCCCTCCATCCCCCTCCCGCGCACCCCATAGTCCTAAACAGCAGGAAATGTGTTGGAAAAGGATTAAAAGCGCCTAAAGGCATCACGTAAGGTGTCGGATGTCTTGCATGTTTAGCTTGTCTGTCTCTTTCTGTTCTTGCCCGCAAGACTTGCATAGTCGGAGTCGCATAGCAAGGTCGTTGCTATCGTCGCCGACATCGTCATCATCATCGTCGTCATTGTTGCCTTCGTCGTCTCAGAAGTAGTCGTGTTGGTGGTGGCAGTGCCGAATGTACCAATTGCAGGAGTATGCCTACCGGCTCCTTCAGTAGTGGAGTAGCAGAACATGTTCAGTCCTCGTGCGCGTACAGAAATGTCGGCTTGGTGGCTTGTCTGTGGGCGGCTAGTGAATTCTAGTTGTGATGTACACAGCCACTGCTTCCAACCATGCGTGACGAATGGCACGAGCAATGTAATCAGAACCAGCGGGGGCAAACAGATCAAACCTCCTGAAGCGTGTGCATCTCTTTGCATATTGAACAGAGCTGCTGTAGGAAACACAGCGCTCAAGCCACATGGGGCTTCCAGCTAGGCGTGCATGGCTTCGAGTGAACGGCCGATGTTTTGCGAGGGGAGACAATCAAGCTGTGATCTCTGCTCCGAGGTAGTAGTCCCTTCTTAACCATACTTGTGGCTCTCTTTAAATAGGGACCATTATTATCCTCAAGGTTCCCCCCTAGTCCTAACTCCTATCTGCCAGGACTACCGCCTTTCCCGTGCACTTGGCATGTTTGGCAGTCAATCGGTCGATCGTTTCCTTAGGGGGACTTAGAAATAATTGTTGTTAATTTTTGGTTATTATTATCCCTAAGAAACAGCTAAAATTATAATTGTTGCTAGGGTTCTAAGTTCAGTATAGTTTCATTCTGACGACGATGGCTTGCAGCAGAGCCACTGCTGGCTGCTGTTGTTGTTTGGGGGGCAGGCAAACAGAAATAGTATCCCTTCTTGTAGCTATTACAACTACACTACAACACTCCGGGATTCAGGCATGTAAAGTGTAGACTTAGGCGAATCACGTGAACGATAAGGGGAGAAGGATAACGTCCTTGTCTTTTACATGCAAGGTCGGCTTGTTTACCTGCATATGAGAATGTTTCTGCCGGACTGCTAGCTTCTACAGTACCAGCGGTCGATGTCTACATTGGGGTGAATGCTCAGCAGTTGCAGTGGCTTCTGCATGTGTAGCAGATTC